GCCACAATGCAGGGAAACCACTAGCGACCTTGTCGCTCATGCTCAGTCCCAAGGCAATGGTTCAAAGAACTTGACGCAGAGCGTACAAGGACCATTTTTTTTGAGTTCCTTGGCGATTTTGCAGAGAGGGGCGGGATGTGGGGCAGCTATGCTTGAGGCAGATGACCAAAGTTACCCTCATGAAAACTGTTTTTAACGTGGCATGAACATCCCCAGTTTGCTCGAATTGGTTTCATGAACCATGCATAACCATACTCCAAAACACTGGAGAACCTTTATCATTGAACTCTCTCAACAGCTGTTCGAGGACTACACAGTTGAAATTTTAAATTTCCTTCAGTTCAGGCTGTGAATCATCCAGTTCATTCTGCAACTAGATGAACTCTCCCAACTTCTTGATCAAGATTTCATCCCCATCGCCATCCAGTTGAACGCTCTCCGTTTTGCTGATCTTGCTGATGTGTTTTTTTTTTTTTACATGTGAAAAATACTAAACATTAATCATTAATATATATATATATATATACGTGTGTGTGTGTGTTTGTGTGGTTAATGGTAATAATATATATATATATGTTATTTCCCAAGGTATTTCCCAAATTTCCGGTGCATTTCCCACAGCTTGGCTGTGGCCAGGTCTGAGGGCGCCATGCCGACGGACAGCGGTGGAGCCGCTGAGGTGTGCATTTTCCTCAAATGAAGGTACCCCAAAAACGCTGGATGGTTTAGTTCATGGAAAATCCCATCTATAAATGGATGATTTAGAGGTAACCCCACTTCGGGAAACCTCTATGGCTATGGACCTTCATGTCAATACAATTTTTAAGGGGCACATCGATGAACATCCAGCCAGATCCAGCTATTTTGATGATTTTTGATGTGAACTACAGGGGTACAAGGTGACTTGACCCATCCCTATATGGATAGGATGTAGTCAGATTTGTTGGGTAAGTGAGATATTGATTATGTTGACCGGACCTAATTCGATATCATTAACTATATCATGTTTTAATGGCATGATGATATTTTTTTATTTGTATCAATATTATCTACTATAAGATTATTATCAATATCACTGTTAAGTGTGTTATAAATTATACCTGGCTAAATTATAACGACGTCACGCCGCAACGTCGCTGGAATGACCGTGAAGACGTCACGTCGCAACGTCACTGGAATGATGGTGAACGTGCAGGGAAATCATTAGCTCAACGTATTTCAGGTGAGTCAATTTAGTTATAATTTGACTTGACCGAAAAACTGTATATGAATATGTTTTTGCGTTTTGCTTTTTAATGTATAGTTACCCCCAAGTTAAGATAGAGTTTCGTCTCAAACTCCACTCGAAAAAATGGTGTGATTTTCATGAGATCAACTTTCAGCAGCATTTTTTTGGGGATGATTCAATCGGTTAAGCATGGCAAACAGTTAGGCTGATTATGGGGTTGTCAACCGTTAAGGAGATACTTTCTGATAAACATACAAAAAACTATGGAAAGATCTAGTTGTTTGAAATGCAGCAAACGCATCAAACAGTTATGCTTTCTCCACCGCATGATGCTGGTGGCTTGATAAAAGGCCTGTGTCCCTTAAGGCAGGCGCGTCAGTCATGATGGGGCAAGCTTCCAAAGTGCTTGTTCTCACATGGTTGGGTGGGTAAAAGCTTGACCAAAGTTGAGTACCAAACCCAAAATTAACTGGTTATGAGCCGTATGGCTCTAAAGAGACCAAATGCAGCATGCCCTGCGGCCCTGCGTCATCAAAGTTGGCGTAAACGGGGTTTGCTAGCCCTAATCCTTGCTAAGCAGGGGGGGTTTTGCTTGCGTGTGATTGTGGGCGCCAAACGTGGGGGTCAGGTCGCGCACACCCCTGGGTTACATTTCCCATGAGGGTTGCGTGCCCAGCAGCCAAGCGATCTCAAAAGAGGGGACGTTGATCAAACAGTTACTGCTTTTTCCACCGCATGGTGCTGGTGGCTTGATAAAAGGTTTATGTCCCTTAAGGCAGGCGCGTCAGTCATGATGGAGCAAGCTTCCAAAGTGCTTGTTCTCACATGGTTGGGTGGGTAAAAGCTTGACCAAAGTTGAGTACCAAACCCAAAATTAATTGATCCACTATTTTTTTCGGGTAAATCCATGATTTAAATCCACTTTAAATGGCCATATTCAATAGCTATGTTTGTTTACCGGAGGGTATGATACAACATCCCGGTTATCATGCAAAATAAGGATTTGCAGAAATGCCGGTGATGCCCGTTGGGTTGTAGCCTAGTCTTGAGCAAACCCAGGTGGTGCGTCTGTCCAGTACACACTAAGCATCCATTTTTTGGTTAATGTGATACTATGAGGATAGAAGCCCATTTAGGGTTCAATCAGTGTGAATGTACCCGCTAGAGCTTAAATCATAATCATAGTCGAATCATAGTGCATCTTTGACTCTATGACCCTTACTGATGCTAGTGGTGTGTTAAAACCCCACATATGCCTATGACTATGACCGAAAAATGTGGATGCAAATTGATTCAGTAACTGCGCAACGTTGCACGGTGTATAAAGACTTCCGAACGAGTGCATCAGATGCCCCAGATCATCCAGCTATATGGCGGCATGTTTCCACTGTTGTTCCCCCCTAGCCCGAAACTAGAAATCACTGATACCAAAAAATAAATCAAAACATGATAGTTGCTGTGTAACATGTCCATCACTGCCCATATGCTCCGTGTATGAAGTGTATGGGAACATCTACCAACATTACTCAATATTTGCCCTTGTCCAAAATCACCCAGTCATGTAGGTAAATATACCAGCACCATGGAGCATACGGGCTGATGAACATGATATAAAAAGATAAAGGATGGAACCATATAGAACCGCATGACCGGTGAGCTAGGCCGCGGGATCCGTGATGCCGTTGCTCTTGCGCCATGGCAAATTCCCAACAATGGAGGGTTTTTTTCATGGACAATTCATGGTAAATAGTGGGAAAGCCCACTATAAATATGGGAAAACTCACTATACATGGAGTTTTTCATGGGGCAATTGATCTTAATTTTGGACAAACAACTTACTGGACAGATTGTCATAAATTAGATATTTATAGGCTTTTGCGGGGAAATTCATCAACTTTTGGGAGAAATGTGGCATCCCAGGGAGAAATACCATTGTTTTCAAAACTCTGCCCGGGTAAAGCAGGGTAGAGGGTAAAAACCAAACATCGGTTGAACCTATAACAAAAATGGGTGGAGTTAAAAGAAAAATGTTTTTTTTTGGTTTATGTCCTTTTCCAGCCCGTTTCAACCAGTTGGATTGTCCCGTAGCGTGTCTACAAGGTGGGGTTCCTGTGATAGCGTTGGTTTAGTTCACTAGTATAACTAAGGTTTATTTACGCCATATATATATATATATATGTAAATATAATATCTAATCAGAATATGTGTATGTATGATCCCGCCTTCCGACCGCGAGGTCCCCCCCCAATGGGATGGGTCCCCAGGTAGCACCCCCCCTTCCCTTCTATTTGCAAGCTATTGGCAGCATTTCTGTGGTCCAGCCTCGCGTTGGCTAGGTTTTTGCAGCGATTCTGCCTACCAGCCTCGCATTTTCTAGGTACATGCTACCTTTAGACGACCTACGTGGCACACATATTTGCTCAAAGTACCTACGTGCTACCTTTAGTCATATATACATGTGCTATGTATCTACTTCATATATATATATATATATTTATTTATATGTTATAGATACATACATGTATATATACTCATATTCAATTTAATATATACATACATATTTATATATTTACATATATACACATATATACATATTTATATGTATATATACATATTTATATGTATATATATATACATATTTATACATATATATATATATATATATACATGCTTATACATATATATATATATATATACATGTACATATATATATATATATACATATATTCATATATATATATATGCACATTTACACAATATATATATATTTATATAATATACATATACGCATAAATAAATATATATATATATATATGTGCAAATAAGCATATTTTTATATGTATATATATATAAATATATATATAAAGACATGTATATATATATACACGCAGTACCACACCCCCACCACACCACAGGGGGGCCGGGGAACATAGCTCCTGTATATCCATACCCATTCCTACTCCTAACTACTATTCACTACTACATACTACTAACTACTACTAACCCCCCCACCCCCCTGCCCACCCACAGGGGGGGCGGGGAACATAGCTCTTGTATATCCATACCCATTCCGACTACTAGTTATTACTCACTGCGACTAACTACTACTACTGCTACTGCTACTACTACTGCTACTACTACTACTGCTACTACTACTACTACTACCATTACCCCCCCCCACCCACCCACAGGGGGGTGGCGGGGAACATAGCCCCTGTATACCCATACCCATTGGGGGGGAGGCGGGGGGACCTGGGAGTATTGCATCATATATATATATATATATGTATATATATATACTTATATTTAATAATAATCATGATGTATTCAACTAGTTGATCTAAGGTTTGTGAATCAATAAACTGCGGGCCCCACCTGGGGCCCCTTGTCCATCCCGATGATTCCATGGTTAGCTTCATCCGCATTCATTCAGATGTTTATATATCGTTTATTAATGGTTAATGATGGTTAATGATAGTTAACAATGCTGATTCATGGTTAATGATGGTTCATAGTTCATGGCTATTATATAATGGGATTAGTATGGATGATAATGGTTAATGTCTATTAATGGGCTATTAATGGTTATTCATGATGACTAATGTGGGTGAAAAAATGTCATAAACCACCCATGACTGGGATTTTTTTTTTTCCACCTACAAACTGATGATGACTGGGGATGCTTTATGATCTTTATGAACTTGTCTTACCCTTATACACAGATGTTTTTCCCACAAGAATGTCGTTGTTTTGGTGGCTGAGGTGCACCTTCATGATTGTTTCCATGCAACTGGGCTTCGCCATGCTGGAAGTGGGATGCGTGAGACAAGAGCATCGCATGACAGTGCTGGAGCCTTGGCAACTGGTCGCTGCCGGCTGCCAGTGGTTTTGACATGTTCAAAACCCAGGAGAACAGGTCAATCTCATGGACACAAATGATGGTATCCTGGGGGGATGGGGAGATTCATGGGGATTTTTTTAGGGGAAAGGATGTCTATGACCAGCTCACGTTGTGCGGACATTGGAATCATGCAGCCTCTAGTAGTAATCAATCATGGCTGGAAAATGGAAAATCCATGAAAATCCCCTCAGTTCGATGATTTTCCCAACAAACATCCTTCCATCGGGGATATGTTTTTCGGCATTTTTTTTGATGTTCCCATGGAGTTTTTCCCATCGCTCCAGGCAAAGAATCTGCTTGACACCATGGTCTCCAGTTTGTCCTTCTCATTGGGCTGTGAGATTTTCCAGTGCCTCGCCGGAGATGGACCGGGTCCGCCGTTAGGTGGGACGGGTTAGGTTAGGTGGAAAATTGGGGTTTGGAACATGATGTCAAGCCAGAGATGTTGTTTTTTTTTGGGGTGATTGGTGGGTTGTACAGTTTTGTAGTGTTTTGTTGGACCTAGTCAATTGTGCATTCAATTGTGCTGCCATCCATTCATTTGGTGTCTTAGTCCGCTTGGTTGGCCAAAGACTTCCCTGGGCAATTGGATTTGTTGAACGATAATTTTCTGGCTCGAAACCACTTGAATTGTTTGGGTTCAGCTTTATAAATCCAAGAATTGTAGAAGGGCCGTGAGAAACAATCCATCAGGGCTCGGCAAATGTCCTGCTGTGTGGATTTGGAATGTTACCTGAATGGATGATAATGGGCGATAGTGTGTTGTTAATAATGATAATGGGTGATACTGGATGGTTCTGCATGTATTTGATCATGACCTCACGTCGCGACGTCAATTTTTTCAGGTCAACTTACCCTGATGGCTGGTGATGGTACAGAGGATGTTCCATAGAAAGTCGGATTACTGGCTTATTATGGCTAATTACTATAAATATGTTTTCTTTCTCTTGGTGGGCCCCCTCAACAAATCCAAGTTCAAGTATGATTTAACATGAGTTTATTGTCCTTGTCGTGGCCCACCTTATGAAAGCCCAGGAATAGACGGGCGATGGGATTAGTTAGATAAGAAGACCCATTAACACTCATTGACTATAAGACATCTATAGACATCATTATATAGACATCTATAGTATAGTATAGGCTATAGATTAATACCCTCCGGTAATTTAACATAGCTATAGTAGAAAATCACAATGTTTAAGAACGGTAAACCATCTATTTCTATGGGCCATGGCTTCCAGTTCGCAAACTGTTCGTTTACCAGAGGGTATCTCCCATTAAGTGGATTATAATCCCATTCCATTCCATTAAAAACCCATAAAAAAAAAAAAAAAAACATTAAAAAACCATTGAAATCTCATCCGCTGCGCAGGGTCTCGGGGTTTTTTCCAATCGAAATGAGCATAGAAAACCGCTTTCAATGAGATGAAAAGATGACAGCCAAACTTGCGACGCCTCCTGGAATTTCCATCAGGTAGACCTTCAACTTTCATCAAAGCCCACTGGACCGGCTCGGCGTCTATAGTATCGTGTTTGAAACCATTGAAATCCCATTGAAAAGCCATTAAAAACCAATTGAAATCCCATTAATGTAATGTTTTAAGGCTGATCGGGTCTGTTAAGGCCCAGCATTGTCAAGCAGGATGGAGTCGTGGAATCTCGACACCCATCGGGCATCGGGCGGCCATGGGGCAACAAATTATAAAAGGTCCATGATTTGGACTATGTAGGGGAATATCCTAATATCCCAACCTAATATGGCCTTATATGTTACAGCTCCATTTCAGGTCCTTAAGGCCTAGTTGGTTTCTTAGGAACGACATGTTTCAAGTGGTGACAGGAACGTGAGAAAAAGGTAGGTATATGGCTCTCATATACCAGCCATTTCTCGAGCCTCGGCTCGTTAACATCCAGCCTTCTCGGTGGGATTTGCCGTGGCTACATACCAGCGGTTGAGTCAATGGGTATAGATTGGAGGCTCTCAGGCTCTGATTTGTTTCTCGTTTCATCCAGAACCCACTGGGCTAACATGGCCTGGAACATCACCAATTTCGTAGGTATCTCGAATCTATACATGGGCTATTGTCCAGTTCGCAAAGTGTTAGTTTCCCAAAGGGTATCTCCCATTGAGTAAATTATAATCCCATTCCATTCCATTAAAAACCCATTAAAACCCATTAAAAACCCATTAACCGATTAAAAACCCATTGACAACCATCGAAATCTGAGGAAAATCACTTGATCTTCCTGCACTGGGCCTTTCTCTCCACCTCAGTGACGATTTGTTCTGGATCCATGGCGGAGCGTGCTCACCTGGCAGATCCCTGGCGTCAACGGCAAACGGCACTGAAGCCACTGGAAGCCATGGCAAAAACGGTTGGGAAGATGATAAATCCATATGAATCCCTTTGAACAATGGTGATGTTCCATCGTGATCTTGTTTAAATTACCAGAGGATATGCATGGTATGCCCTAGTTGATGGCTATGAAGGATGTGAAACATGATTGATATGATTGATATGATGTTGCTAGTGTCTTTGTCACCCTCGGATAGATAGTTTAATCATGTTTAATCTATAATTAGTTGTTTTCATCTTTTGCTGGGAATGGGGGTGCCGACTCGTAAGATTGAATTAAGATGAAATTTGGTGGATATAAATATATCCACACACAATGGGCTTCTGATTAACATGGGCAAATGTTATATATATATAACATTTGCCCATGTTAATCAGAAGCCCATGGCAAGTGTGGATTTGGAATGTCCACTTAAAGAAAACCCAAGTTACAGTAGTGGTTTGGGTCCTGAACTTAGAGAAACCTTGGGCATATCCGGGCATGTCATTCCAAAACGAGGAGTAAATGGACATGATTTGGGATGTCATGGCTCCATGTCATTGAAAACCAATTTGTTGGTCGAAGTTGGTGCCCCGATTTTGAGCCATGCCCATTTGGCCGGCCGATATGGTGTTATAAGTTTAAATGTCACACATGTGGAAGAGAGAGAGAGGGAGAGAGAGAGAAAAACAAAAAAAACAAAGAGACTGGGAAGCCCAAACTATCGCAGTCACATATCAAGACCTAACTTCGTGAATTTGTCTGGAGCAACATGTTTTTGCTGTTAGCCACTCCCTAAGCCATTCCGCTTTGCTGCTACGGCCACCTCCAGGCATACCTATGCTATGCGGTCTCTTGGACGATTCCATGCGGGGCTTCACTTTTTTCATGCCAATCTGGTTTAGAATCACTGCGTTAATTTAACGCACGGTACTCTACTAATGTGGGTAAAACAATGCCATAAAGCACGAAAGGTTTATACCACCTTTAAAAATGGTGATTTGGGGGATGGTTTATGGCATGGTTTTATCCACATTAATTGAAGGCATGGATGGGTATTATATTTGAATACTGATTCCGGTGGGTCACTTTGATGGGAGGTGAGCATGGAGCTACAGTAGGCGCCAGTTAGCTAGATAGAGAGTTTGAAATCTTGATTTTATGCCCAGAAATTTGACATTTTTCAAACATATTTGGAAAAATCAATTCGGCCCTCAACGTTAGGTTTTCTTTTGACCGAACCAAGCAGAATATGTTCTGAATTTCGGGGGGTCAAACAGAAATTGAAGCACTGACCAAGAACTGAAGTAGGACAATCCTTTTCCAAACCCAAAGACTCAGACCTTTGGTCTTTTGGGGTGACAAATAATCAGCGGTGACTAGTAATATACACATCATATACACATCATACTGTATGTATGGCCCATATACATACATACATATAGTCATCCCCAAATAGATGGAAAAGTAAATCCCTACTAATTTGATGCTGATTTACTTTTCCATCTATTTGGGGATGACTATACATACATACATTACATTACATCCCATTACATTCCATTACATTACAATACATACATTACATACATTACATACATTACATACATTACATACATTACATACATTACATTACATGCACTACACGCATTACATTCATTACATCCATACATGCATACATGCTACATGCATACATGGATGCATGCATACATGCATACATGCATACATGCATACATCCATCAATACATGCATACATCAATACATTCATACATTCATACATACATGCAAACATACATTTATACATCCATATAGTCATTCATTCATACATGCATACATTCATACATGCATACATTCATACATTCATACATTCATACATTCATACATACATACAGTCATACATCATACATTTACATACGCGGATATATCATATACATATTATTGGTGAAGTTTCATTTCTGCTAGCAAGAACGGCAGCAGCGGGATGGGATGGCAGGTGCTGATGTCAGGCTTGGCGTACCCCATCCTGGCAGACAGTGTCTGGGGTGATGGCACCCTGGTGGCGAAGTCGAGAGGGAAACCCTCTGGGAAATCCTCGTTAAATGTCGAAGAAAATTAGGAAAGTCCTCTTTCTTGAATAGTGACAAAGATTGTGAACATAATTAAGTTCAACTCCCAGTTCTATCTCTTTTTTTTTTGGTTCCATTTGTTGGAAATCATGTTTGTTTGGTTCACTACATTTTTCTCATCCAAAAATGGAGACATCCTGACCCTTGCTACACACAATATGCTGATCACCTGCATGATGGGAGCGACTGCCAGGTACAGGTGCTGGCTTCTTGTACCATCAATTCCACCCCTCCGGTGGTCGCTCAGCGGTTGATCGTTGCTGGTGATGCCCCTGGTGTTTAACTTAATGTTAGCTATGGAAAATGGCCCATTTATAGATGATTTATGTAGACTTACCCGCCAAACATGGGGATTGTTGGTGATCTTTTTTAGTTCGCAAAGCGTGGAAGATTGTCAGAGGATACATCGTCCAAGTCCAACTGGGAAGGAGCATCTTCATGTAATATCTAGTCTCATTTCACGTTTGTAGATATCTTTTGTCTATCAGATGAATAAACCATGGAAGCGTTTGGAGGAAAGTGAACAACGCGCGACGCGAGGGGAGTCAACTGTGTGAGGGTAGTGCATATCCCATGGTTTATTTTTTTAAGGGTGGTACTCCCCCAATAGACATAATTTGATCCTTAAATGGTACCACCCCAATTAGACAGTTTAGAGGTTTATTAATCCAGGGGGTTGACATTAATGGACGAAGGCTGTTTCTTCTACTGAATGCGTGACTGGACTCTCTTCGAGATGAGTTGGTCTGAAACTCCAGTTCTGGCAATTTTAATCAGGAAGAATGATGACAATCTGGGTAAATTATTTGACCTCACCGGAAACATGGTTAGATTATGGGGAATCATCCCCAGCCGAACTATGCCGAACTGTTCAGGTTCTTCAGGTAGATATATGTAGATATACCTATACTTAATGGAGGTGATAAACTAACTTATAACTGGCGGGGGGCACCACCTTGAAGGAATGGACAGTTGGGGAAGTTCTTGGGGGAAATGAACATGGGAACATGAGAATGGATCAAGTCATTGGGTACCCCAAATAATTGGATGGTGGATACTCAACTAAACCTAAAATCTGTGGTCCCCCAGGTCTTTAATTTTGACCCATCCAAAAAACACCTCGGGAAAAGGTAGGAAATCTGGGAACATCTTGGGAATCTATGGGAAAATGCTATGAAAAGATGGGGGACATATGGGGAAGATATCGGAGAAAGGTGAGAAAGAAAACCTCCCCGGAAAGGTGGGAAAGATGGGAACATCATCAATACATGGAGGCTGAGCAGAAAACCTCCCCGGACTAAATGGAAGTGTTCACATGAAACTGCGCTCTGATAATCTAACAGTTTGCCATTCAACTCACCTAGCCCCTGGCACAACAATTTTCCATATCAACATAGCAACCAGTTAACACACCAGAAGGTACATGCAAAATCTAGAGATGCCATATACACATATATATATACATATGTGGATCTAAGTGTCATCATATCTTCTAATGTCATCTAGAATCTAGAAATGGTAAATAAATGACATGAATATGGACGAATCATTTGGCCCGAAACTGAGGATTTTGTCACGACTATTCTTCATAGTCTTCACCGGGTACCCAGTTATTGGAGTTATGTTCACCAACTTAGCTAACAAACTGGTGCATCACTTTGTATGATTAATGGGGGTGTGTTTCTGGTGATTGTTACTATGATTAGCTGGGGATTATGACAATTATGAAACTAATGTTGGTAAAGTAAAATGCCATCTGCACCATCCCCCAGTCATCACCGTATAGCTATCTAGGACTGGTTGGTGGTTTGGAACATGAATTCTTTTTTTCCCATATAATCCATATATTGGGAACAATCATCCCGTTTGACTTTCATATTTTTCAGAAGGGGTATATAGGTATACCACCAACCTGATTTACATTCATTTACCTCGAATCCCTGAATTCATTGAACATCAAACAAATACGTTAAAAATGACGTCCTAATGTGCTCCATTTTCATATTATACATGTCATTGAACATCCAAAAAAGTTGTCCCATTTCATGGGATGATTTCCACAACATCCACATGAATCCCTAATTACTGGTTGGTGGTTTCAAACATGCTATTTTCCCATAGCATTTTCATAGCATTTTCCCATAGCATTTTCCCATAGATTCCCAAGATGTCCCAAGATGTCCCAAGGACATAGCTATTACGACTACGCCGGGGGTGGTGTCATCCACCTGGCTGGCGCGATGGCAGCTTTGGTGTCCTGGAGATATGGCTGCCCGAGTCTGGGGATGTGGTCCTTTTATGGGAGGTTACCAAGCAAAATGTGATTTTATGGGAATTGACCAAGAAAACATGGTGATTTTGGAATTGACCAAGAAAACATGGTGATTTTGGAATTGACCAAGAAAACATGGTGATTTTGGAATTGACCAAGAAAACATGGTGATTTTGGAATTGAAAGAAAACATGGTGATTTTGGAATTGAGCAAGAAAACATGGTGATTTTGGAATTGAGCAAGAAAACATGGTGATTTTGGAATTGAGCAAGAAAACATGGTGATTTTGGAATTGAGCAAGAAAACATGGTGATTTTGGAATTGACCAAGAAAACATGGTGATTTTGGAATTGACCAAGAAAACATGGTGATTTTGGAATTGACCAAGAAAACATGGTGATTTTGGAATTGACCAAGAAAACATGGTGATTTTGGAATTGACCAAGAAAACATGGTGATTTTGGAATTGACCAAGAAAACATGGTGATTTTGGAATTGACCAAGAAAACATGGTGATTTTGGAATTGACCAAGAAAACATGGTGATTTTGGAATTGACCAAGAAAACATGGTGATTTTGGAATTGACCAAGAAAACATGGTGATTTTGGAATTGACCAAGAAAACATGGTGATTTTGGAATTGACCAAGAAAACATGGTGATTTTGGAATTGACCAAGAAAACATGGTGATTTTGGAATTGAGCAAGAAAACATGGTGATTTTGGAATTGAGCAAGAAAACATGGTGATTTTGGAATTGAGCAAGAAAACATGGTGATTTTGGAATTGAGCAAGAAAACATGGTGATTTTGGAATTGACCAAGAAAACATGGTGATTTTGGAATTGACCAAGAAAACATGGTGATTTTGGAATTGACCAAGAAAACATGGTGATTATGGGAATTGAGCAAGAAAACATGGTGATTTTGGAATTGAGCAAGAAAACATGGTGATTCTATGGGAATTGAGCAAGAAAACATGGTGATTTTGGAATTGAGCAAGAAAACATGGTGATTTTATGGGAATTGACCAAGAAAACATGGTGATTTTAATAAGAGTTGACCAAGAAAACATGGTGATTTTTCGGGAGTTGACCAAGAAAACATTGTGATTTAAAGAAAACATGGTGTTTTTAATGGGAGCTGACCAAGAAAACATGGTGATTTTAATGGGAGTTGACCAAGAAAACATGGTGATTTTTTGGGAGTTGACCAAGAAACGTGGTGTTTTTATGGGAGTTGGAGTTGACCAAGAAACATTGTTTTTTTTATTGGACTGCAGTAACAAGACTGCTGATTTTAGTGGGACTTCACCAACATGAATGGTGATATAATGGAATATTATGAATGGAATATGAACGGAATATCAATGACTTATCCTAGGAGGTAGCCCCATCTTAACTTACCATGGGCCGCAGTTAACATTACAAATGGGTATGCTGTAACCATGGCCATGGATGGCCATGGCAATTTAAACCCTTATAAGTTGGGATATCGCCCCTAATATATCCACGTGAAACTCAAACTGCACTTCCCAGTGAGTTTTGCAACTTTGTTAAGAGTTGTGTAGTAAGTAATGAAGCTTATTCAATATGGGAAACCTGCTCCGATGTATACAAGGTGGTGCCCCAGCTGATTGGCCAAGTTGGTGAACATATATAACTATGTAAACTAGGGCTCATGACTATGTTCTGAAAATTGGGGGAAATGAATGAATACTGTAAATAAATTTACCGCAGCTAGATAGATAGATAGATAGATAGATAGATAGATAGATAGATAGATAGATAGATAGATAGATAGATAGTAGGTAGGTAGGTAGAGAGAGAGAGAGAGATACATAGTGACCCAAAAAGCAACAGAACAGGAACATTTCACAACATTCTAGTAGGAAATTGCTGTTCTTTCTTTGAGGAGATATGCATACATATATGATGTACAATGTATGTATATATATATATACAAATCTACATGTAGCTATATAGTGCCAATATTTCAGGAATACACTAGTCAATACCTTACTTGGGGATACTTAACCAGTTCATCCCAAACCTACTAACCAGTTAAACTAACTTCAAGCCCGGTCTAATGACATGTTTTTCCTAGATAGAAACCCTCAAAAAGATAGGGGAAAAAATAGTTACCCCTATTTCAACAGGGTTTTGCCAAGCTCTATTTTTTTGGTGGGGGGTGGTATTTATTGTTGAATGTGAAGTCCCCATGATTGATAGTCAATGAGCATCAATGAGCCAAGCAAGACCTCATTACTATCTGAGAGTCAAACACGGCTTGCTGGAAAATCAACCGCTTATCAATTCAATGGCTATTCCGGGATCCTAGATTGGAGGTACCTACCATATATAAGGCCTATTTTTTAGGCCTATGTAAGGGAATATCCCCACAAAATATGGATAAATATGGCCTTATATGGTACAGTACCTCCAATTTAGGATCCTGGAATTCCCATTGATCAATTGTTGTCGATGAATTTCCCAGCAGAACCTGCATTCATGGGGAATTATCCAGCTTTTGGCCACATTTGACACGGGAGAGTTTCACCCAATATTCCGTTAATATTCCATGAATATCACAATCATATTCCATGATATCACCATCAAAAGCCAGCATGTTTGTTGGTGAACTCCCCTTAAATCACCATTTTTGTTGGTGAACTTCCATGAAATCCACCATGTTTGTTGGTTAACCCCATTCAAAAAATGCCATATGTTTCACAGGGCTCCGCCTGTGTCTCTGCGGTTAGAGGCCGGCAACTTGCTGTTGGGACGTCGAATCCTGCGACCTCCACCCAAGGTGATGCTGTCGTTGTGAAATTCTCCAGGGATTCATTGATTTTTCGTTGTAGATCTATTGATAGCCAACATTACTATATGAATATTTAGATTATTTATGGTTTATGATTGTGAAATGATATGATTGTGAAATGATATGATTATCTATGGTTTATGGATAGTTTGCAATGGAAAAGCCTATTAAAATGGATGATTTTGGAGAACCCATATCTGGTAGATCTATTGATAGCCAACATTACTATATGCTATTTGAATATTTAGATTATTTAGATAATGAATATATATATATATTGCAGTGATTGTTTATCTCTAGGAATTAAATATTATTGATAATCATAAGTTGTTCATCTAAAGGGGATATATGTATATATACATATAGGGGCAGGATTGACAGGATGAATGTTGATTGTAGGAGATTATAGTTAGTTCTGACAAAGGGATCCATTTATGATGATGATTCCTATTATTTGTGATGATGATCGTGATGGTGATGATGATGATTGGTCAGTAATGGTAAGTACTTAGTACTACTTATTAATGGTTGATTTAATGATTTTAATGGTTATTGATGATTACACATGGATGAGGATTATGATGATGATGATGATGGTGATGATGATGATGATATGTGGTTATGGTTAGTACTAGTTATTAAGGGTTCATGATGATTATTGATGATTATTAATGTTTGTTGATGATGACGATGGCGATGATGAAGTGAGTACTGTCTAACATCATCTCTGGATGCCATCCAACCCTGATGAACTAGGAGGTTTACCTGAACGTTTAGTGAGGATGGTTACCCCAATATTTGTTTCTAATAACATGATCATTTGGTTCTGAAATGTCAACCCCCAGTTAAACAGCCCAGCTCTAACCCAATATGACCAGTTGCTTGGAGATGGGGGCAATGAGGGCAAAACCTTTGAACAACGACAAAAAACGGTAACACTATATATAGACTATTATGTATTATGCCATAGTGTCAGCATGTGTCATCCATTGCATAATCATGTAGTAGACCATAGTACACCAATATCGTATATGATATGATGAGATTACTGTACAATATGGGTGAACCATGGGATATAAACCTCCCCTATTGGTCAGCCCATTTGCGCTCTTTTTCTCGTGGCCGTGGCAGGACCTAAGTCATACACAAGGTGCCCTGCGGCGGAATCTAGCCACCAGAACCTTGAATATCGGGTTCTTAAAGATCTGGATATACCCTCTGGTAATTTAACATAGCTATTGAAAATCACCTTTTTTAATGTGAAAACTCACTATATATGGCAATTTTCAATAATTTTCAATAGCTATGTTAGTTTACCAGAGGGTAGATTACGTATCTATATATATATAGTACTGTTGAGCGTCAGAATTAGATGTTTGTGATTCTTTTGATATAGTATGAGTGACTATGTTGGGGAATATCTGAGATATCTTTGGGGAATGCGAAGAATCAACAGGAAGTAAAAAAAACTAACTCCTAGCTTTTAGGATGAACATGGAGCAAAAATTACTACTATTGTCTATTATCGTTTGGGAATTACAGTAGATCTTGTTTCAGGGGGATTTCTATGGACTTATCCATCAATCGCCATCGCCTGTCCTGGTGGCGCCAGATCGGTGATGTATTTCCCCTTGGGGCATTACCCTCTGGTAAACCACGAAAAACTATGGAACGATCCAGCATGTTTAATGGGACAACTCACTATTTCTATGGCCATTTTCAAATTCGCAAACTGTCACAATTTACCAGAGGGTAACCCCAATCAACCATTCTTGACCATTATTTACCCTTTTCAACCATTATATCCATCATTTGGGTATGCTATTTTTTTTGGCCAAAGATGTGTGGAAGAACAGAAACCACAGTTTTCACCTGGGGTTTTTCGTGAGTGAAAGGCATACATCCAGAGATAGACGGAGGGCACCATTTCAGCAGACTATTGCGGGGAACCCCAAGTACTAAACATGGATTTATTAATGCACCCATTTGGACTATTCAAATAAATCTGAATGCATTCCATCTATATATATATATGTATGTGTTATATGTATGTATGTGTGTGTGTGTGTGGACACATTGACGCGTACTTGTCACATGTTATAGTAGCCCCAAAAAATTATGCCGAAAAGTCATGTATCCTCCATGCTGTAGGCGATGATACAGCGCAGCTGAAGGCCTCAGAGGGTCCAGGGGTCCCGGTTTTTCGTGGAAACATAGGGATTGCAGCAGGAACAATGGTAGGATTTTATTGGCAACATGGGAATATATATATATATGGATTAATATGGATGAGGGGCTAAGTTGGCTTATAACTACGTAGAATAACTAGGGTCTGTAGTAGATATGTCTGTGGCTGGGGTTATAAACCAACTTTTATAACTTGGCGCGTCCACCTTTCAGATTTGAAGGAAAAAACACGGGGATTGAACAAGTTAATCCACCAAACCATGGATTCAATATCTAAACATCAGACGCGATTGTTCAATGGATTGGTGTAAAGAGAAAATCTTCAGGAACAAAATGCGTCTTATTTTTGCGATGTATGGGGTTTACTGCAGGTTTCCCAAGCGACAATTTTGGGAGTAGGTGGTTCAGAATCAATGTCAGAACGAGTCAATGAGATTTTTCCCCGCTTATAATCCATGCACATCCATGAGGTATTAGAGGTATCAACCAGGATTGGCGTAGAACCAGCTTGATAACATATGGAACATGATAGATTGGTGGTTATCCAAATAGATTGATGGTGTATATACCATCTTGATGACATATGTAACCATCTTTATACCATCTTGATAGTTGATAGTGTTTGGATTGGTGGTTTTGGGGTTGCAGAGGTTCCCCACAGGCATCCTTTGGGTGCTTATCGCACGACTACTGCGCACAAAGGATGGGAGATGGAAAGATCCGTCCAGTCCCATTGCAGGTGATTTGTTAGCCCAAAGAGAGGTATGTGGCATCCGGGGCTATCTGGGGCTTTGAGACACGAAACGTCCCTTTGTCATTTTGATGGCTCAAGCCAATTCAAGCCAGCTGCTTTTGGCCCGGAGAGCGCAACCCACAAAGGCCAACATGCGGCCAGCGATTTCTTCACTTGCCGTGAGCAAGATGGCAATGTTCCTCGCTTTGTTGTGCTGTTTCGGGCTGTTTTCTGAGGTGCTAGCTACAGCTAGAGCAGGTCCCACGCATTTTGTGGCCTTGCGGTTGGCCAACCCCAAGCTCTGGCAGAAAATTGAGCATCTGCAAGAGGAGATTTGGCCCAGGGCAGCTCGGATCTGCTATGAGTCCAGGTTTGATATTCCAGAGGAGATGGTGAAGAAGGCCTTCATGGCAACTGTGTACCCTGCAAGCAGGTTTCACATCTCTCTCTTTGTGGCAGATTTGAATGCACAGCTGGCACAGCTGGACCTTGCCAAAGCGTGCCTCTCAGAATGGTTTGAGGAAAACGTTCACCAAATCCTGGCGGGTCGCAGCAGCCTGGACATAACCTTCGCGGGGTTGAATTCGTTTGATGAGAAAGTCTTGTTCATGCAGCCGGACCAGGACAGTTCCAACCACCTGCGTTCACTCTTCCAAACGCTCCAAGTGCGGCTCCATGCAGTGAATATCACGGCCTATGCACAGTTCGATGACTTCCATCCACACGCAACGATCATGAAGACGAGCCAACTGAAGGACGGCACCTTGCTTGATCGTCTCAATGAGAGCCTGCGCTACCCTCCCGAGGCCTGGATGGAGTTCAATCGGTCACTGGGCACGTACACTGTGGAGGAAGTGCAGCTCCTCAACATGCTGCGGCCCAGTGAGGGATACTTCCAAGTGGACTGGGAGGGACACTTCGGTGCCGAGTGCCATGCTAAGGTGCCGAGGTGCCAAAAGAATCCGCTGGATGGCGGGAGTTTTAGCCATGTACTTGTTGTGTTCAACTGTTCAACATTGTTCAACCATAGTAATGGGATGCCGGGATGCCCTTTGTTTGATCATATTTTTCACGGGGGCTGACTCAACCACCAGGCAGCCATAAGTTGATTCACTTTTGAGGGGATTTCAATAGCATGTGTGGCGATTGGAAGACAATTGATCCAAAAATCAGTCGGATTAGACATTGGTTTCAGCAGATATGGAAGGCCTGTGAAATCACCAAGCTAATGTTCGCATTATAGACATAGAGCGGTTTTAAATCGGGCTGCTGAAGCCCATGGACGCTGTGCTGAGTTTCAGTCGGATCCATGATGGCCAAATCGATGGGAGAACCTTAATGAGGTCCATCAGGGCGCATTCAAACATCTGGATGTATTGGGACGACTTTGGATGATTGGTCAGTGTGTAAATGTATGATCATTTTGGGTAGATGATCGCTATATGATTAGATAGATATCCCTTTTCACTTTGATCTTCTGGTTGGTGGTTTGGAACCATCGAATTCTATGACTTTCCCATCATGCTGGGAATGTCATCATCCCAACTGACGAAGTCCATCATTTTTCAGAGGGGTTGGTTGAAACCTGCGGGTTGCTGGGATGATTATTACTAGTGATTATGGATCATTCCCTCATTCCCTGCTAAGCACCAGTAAGAATTGTATAGTCATAGTTGAATTAATCATGCTTCATCATTCAAAACTGCAAATTGGCGCAAATTGGAGGCTATAACCTGGCCATAACTGTGGCCCACCATGACAATCATCATAGCTTAGAACTGCTTAGAATAGCACTAAAGTTATCTGTTATCACCATGGTTTCCCCATGGTTTCCCCATGGTTTTCCCACGTTTTTCCCACGTTTTTAGACGCCACAGTGTCCGTTGGTCTTTTTGTTTTCAATCCCCAGGAGGCGATCCAGGAGACGTGGCAACGGCGCTTCGACCGGGCCGAGGCCGGCATAGCGGCGATTTGGATCCTGGGGTTATTACTACTGGTTGGTGGTGACTGGAACCATGGAATTTTCCTGGTTAATCTGCATGGTTAATCTGCATGGTTAATCTGCATGGTTAATCTATGGTTAGTCTATGGGGTTATTAGATGTTATTACTAGGTCAATCCCATTATTTCATGGGGATTTCATGAATTTCATGAGATTTAACGGAGGATCATCCACTTTAACGGAGGACAATCTTAGATGGCTGGTTGGTGGTTTGGAATAATTTTCCATTCAGTTGGGAATGTCATCATCCCAACTGACGAGCTCATATTTTTCAGAGGGGTAGGTATACCACCAACTAGACTAGGTCAATCTTGGATGGGTAGTTTCATCCTTTAGTTTCTTGGTATCAATGGGCTTATCAATGGGATTATCTACGTTCACCAGCTAAGAATTTGTCATTTTTTGCAGGGTATCTAAGGATGGTCATGATTACTATGATTACTGGGGGAAGATGAGGGATTAGCTGGGGATTATTACTATGATTAGCTGGGGATTCTGAAACTAATGCGGGCAAAGTAAAATGCCATCTGCACCACCCCCCCAGTCATCACAATAAATATGCGCACACCCTAAGTATAGTTTTCTAAGCCATATGAATACTGGTTGGTGGTTTCAAACATGAATTTTATTTTCCACAGTGGGTTGTCATCCTTCCCATTGACGAACTCATATTTTTCAGAGGGGTAGGTATACCACCAACCAGATAATAAGCCACCCATTTGGGAAGGGTTTATGGAACCTATTACCTGGGAATATGAATATATAAATATATATATATATAGATGGATTTGTTTTTCATGAGTGGATGGGGGCCCCCCCATTGCAACCCAGTGGCCAGGACGATGAGAAGGAGTTTCGCCCCAACAGCTACTTACAGGTGCGGCGATCAGCACGGGCAATCAAGATGTCTTACGGGAGAAAAATGACCGGAAACAGCGGACGTTTCATGCGGAAAAGAGGATAGTTTTCTGTAGATTTAGCTTCAACCAGTGATAGCTAAGTTGGTTTAGTTCACTAGTAATGTCAACCCCGGATTAATAAAACATGGTTTATTAATTAGGGGGGTACTCCTCCAATAGTAATAATCTAATACGACTTAAATGGTACCCTCTCAATTAAACAGCCTAGGGGTTTATTAATCTAGGGTTGACATTATAAGATATTAGATGGAAAAAATGGTTTCCTATGGATTTGATTCGCCGTTTAAATAACCTGAATGATGCGATTATTAAAATGTTGTGTTTCTCCTCGGATACCTTGCAGTCGCAATTTTGCAAGGAATCTACATCTATCTATATATATATGTACATACACACATATATATATGCATGTATATACATATATATATGCATGTATATATATATACTATATATTATACCTATTTATTCATACTGTATAAGAAACGTTTGATTCAGTTCCTTTGGGTGTGCAACTGTAAAACTACCAAGGCTCCGAACAGTTTTTTTCAGGTGTCAGGCTGCCAAAGACCTTTGCAAGATGAGTTCCAAAGATGGTTTCATATACAGTATTACATGTCATAGAGTCATAACGTGTATTTTTTACGGCTTATTTTTATCAGGATTGTTTTTTCTAATCAGAACCATATCTGATTGATCAATCACAACCGATAATTATCTTCCATCACAATTTCCTGGTATTTCCTTATCAGTCTGATAACAATGGTTGTTCCTACTGTTATCTGATTGGATGTCCAATCACATATATACGCTGATAAACATATTTCTAAAAATCATAATTCAGATTACTTACCTAACTTACCAGATGAATTTCCCAATAATCATCATCAACCATCATTAACCATCATTAAGTTGCCAATATGATCATTAACCATCATTAACCATCATCATTATCATCATTAACTAACATAGCTATGGAAAATCCTCCATTTTTGATGGGAAAATCCACTATTTCTATGGCCCATTTTCAATAGCTATTTTGACATAACCAGGAAGTACACCCCATTAAAATCACAATTTTTGTTGGTTAAATCCCATTAAACCACCATTAAACCACCATTAAACCACCATCATAGCTATGGAAAATCACAATTTTTAATGGGAAAATCCACTATTTCTATGGCCCATTTTCAATAGCAAACTGTTGACATAACCAGAGGGTTTCCCATTAAGTGGATGATAGTGGATTAAAACCCCATTAGATTCCATTAAAATTCCATTAAAATCCCACTAGATTCCATTAGATACCAGAGGGTTTTCCCATTGCAGCACTTGTCACCAGCTGACAGCGGAGCCAGCCATGGCGCCATGGCCCGCCATGGCCCAGGTCATGGGCGTCTTGAATCTCTGGGTGGGTGACTTGGCTTCCACCGGAGCAACGGTGCGACCTGCGGCTCCGCAACGCTCCGGGACCCCGGTGTGATGTTTGTTGGTTTCTTAAAAAAAAAAACATGGATTTATAGTCCTAGAACTATATCTAAGGATCATAAATATTCATAAATGATATATATATATATTCAAATTAATGTATCTAAATATCAGAAATTGATAGTTATTGATAGTTATTTGAGTTCTAAACCAACCTAGATAGCGTTTGGGGGCTCCGACTTTGTAACTCTGAGGACAGATTCTGTTTGTTATTTGTCGGCGCAGATCGTTTTAATCCCATGCCCTGTTCATCTTAGATGAGAAAACCTACCGGCCGCTGATCCCAAAGATGTGATTTGATCCCTACATCCACCATGGTTTTTGCGGGTTGTTTAATATGACATTATGAACGGGAGGAGGGATCTTGGTTGTTGCACTGAGGCCGTTCAAGAGTTGGACGTTGTTCCGAATGATTCCGAATGCTAAGTTTGATTGCCCAAGATTGGCAAACGGTAAATATTGAAGATTTGGAATATCCACCCCACAAAACAGTATAGCAACCCCCCCCAATAGATAGAACAGTAAAATCCTATAGTGGTATTTTTTTACTCATTTTTGGGGGGGTTACTATCAGATAATTCAAAGGGTTTGTGCATTTCAGATCCTCCCTTCACGTTTGTTGATTTTTTGATAAACTTCTCTGAAACCACTGTCATATCGCTGTTTCCCAGCCCATCATTGCCTGTTTCAAAATGAATTGTATCAACCTGGCGGCGAAGAGAAAGAGCAAGCCTTCAAATTATTTGGCCATCACTTTGAACTGAGATGTACCAGCAAAAATGATCCAGTTGAAATCGGTGAGTGTATACAGTATATAAATTATAGCTCATTTTATTTCTAAAATGACTAGTATTAGTCAATTTCGGGCTTGGAGGTTTGATTTTTCGAAATATCTGTTGATGGGACCATTTTCTAGGGAACCCCCCAATATTCGATGCTAAAAATAGACCAGGGTATCCTGTAGATGTTCCTTAAATGATCTCATAATATACCATTGTATACCATATCATCGCCACAATACAAAATTTTCCTGTAGATTGTCCCTTAGATAACCTTAAATAGCCCATGACTTTCTCAACCAAAACAAATCCTTCCACCCATCCAGTGTATATCCAGTGTTTGTCGGCTAATGACATTTTTGCATTCCATACTCTCCTGGTATGTGCATTGAATATCCTAATAGTTTCACATAATGTCCCCATGGGAATTTCAAGATCCTAAAATGGAGGTACTGTACCATATTTTTGGCCATATTTTGCGGGGATATTCCCATTGAATGTCCCCATGTTCCCAAAAATGTCCCGGAAAAAACCACTTCCTATTTTACATCATCCCTATCCGTCTGGATAAACTACGTAACGACCAGAGTTCTGCGACGTCACGTCTGAATGATGGTGAATGTATAGGTGGAGCTATCCCAGAAGAACTTCATTTCACCTCAGTGAAATATATTCTGGTTGGTGGTTTGGAACATGAAATTTATGACTTTCCATTCAGTTGGGAATTTCATAATCCCAACTGACGAAGTCCATGTTTTTGAGAGGGGTAGGTATACCACCAACCTGATTTACATTCATTTACCTCGAACCCCTGAATCCATTGAACATCAAAAAATACGTCCCATGACGTCCCATGATGTGCTCCATGTCCATATTATACATGTCATTGAACATCAAAAAATATTGTCCCATTTCATGGGATAATTTCCAGAATATCAACCTGAATCCCTAATTACTGGCTGGTGGTTTCAAACATGTCATGTTCCATTTCATATATGGGATGTCATCCTTCCCATTGACGATCTCAAGTATTTTTCAAGATGGTTAAAACCACCAACCAGACATTCATACACATTTATACAGATTTATAATGAAAACAAAAAAAAGGTGGTTTGACGGAATATTGATGGAATATTCATGGATTGAAATATCAATAGATCTGGACATTCACATTTTTTGATGGCTAGATCACCTATCAAAATAGGCAATATTTTCCAGTTCGCTTAGCTTGTATGTTTACCAGGCCGGGTACCCTCTGGTAAACTAACATAACTATGGAAAATCACAATTTTCATGGGAAAATCCACTATAAATGGCCATTTTCAATAGCTATTTTGACATAACCAGAGGGTAAATTCTCATGAAATCCTTGGAATTCCATGAAGACCTTACCGCACCAAGGTTGCTATGGCTTCAACGCATCGCCAGCTTTTGTGCGTAGAGATCCGCACCGTGCCCTGGTGTTTTACCGATGTCCTGGTGCCCTGGGGATAGCGAATGTGAAGCCATGGCCATTTGCAGTTACCCGGCCTGGTAAACATACAAAAAACTAACATAACTATGGAAAATCACAATTTTTAATGGGAGCATCAACTACGACTGGGCCATGTTCAATAGCTTTTTGTATGTTTACCAGGCCGGGAAATGTACCAAAGATGGTGATTTTCCAGTTCGCAAACTGTTCGCCAGAGAGTAGATTGGGGATTTTACGGGATAATAAATCCATTTTAAAGGGAGAAAAGCTGCATAGTTTGCCTCTGGTAAACTAATAGTTTGCTATTCAAAATAGCCATGGAAATCTTTGATTTTCCCATTAAAATGGGTGATGTTCCATAGTGAGGTTAGTTTACCAGATGCTATTCAACAATATTGGGATATCTAACCATAAAACAGGGAGATATATATAATGGTAAATTACCGTAGTGGTTATTTCATGGTGATTTGCTGGGATATGACATAGCTAGCTAGCCAACAAGTTCTCATGGGTTGTCCAAAATAAACCCTGGGGGTACCCAAGAATGGCAGTTCCAAATAATGGGGGGATAACTGCCAGCGTTTTATTTTTTGGATACCATTATTTTCAAACAAAACCATATGGGGAAAGGGAGTCGTGACATCAGCTATTGTTGCTTTCCAACTGATGACCCCAAGGCGGCTACTTTCCAGTTTCGCTCTTCATTTGCGCGTTTTATATATTGTAGAGAAGAAATGATTACTTCTGTTCTTTTTTAAAACAGTCACGCAGACAAATTTGCTACGTAAAAACCCTTTAGCAAGTAGTACTACTAGCTCCCCCGGCCTTTTCTCGGCGATCAAATCTCAGGAATATGCGAACCATGGTGCTGGAAGATTTACCAACATTTACCCCATAAATGACCCAGTCATGTAGGCAAATATACTATACATGGAGCATATGGGATATACTTCAGGAGGGTTTTCTGACGATCAACTCGGAGTCAACTCGGAGTCAACTTCCCGCAGAAATCCACGGATCTTTTCAGGATGGTTCAAAAGCAGAACCCAGGTAACGTGGGAACGGTTCAAAGCAACCAAGCAAGGAGGAGATGAAAACATATCCCATATTATATGGGATATGTTTAATATGTTTGAATGGGATATATATGAAATAGGATGTAAGGATTCCCTATTCAAACATTTCCCATATATATATATCCATATATTAGAACATTTAAACCCACCATAACCAGCAACCATCATTCTTAATTCACCGCTGGACCATTCTTGCTAATGTGAGTGAAGCAACAGGATCCACCATCCCCAATCTTACATTTTTTATGAGTGGTATAAACCATCAAACCATATTTAGGTGCATATTGACGGGAAATCCCTATACCTCAGGAGAGGAGAAAATTCATGGTTTCCGGTGAAGATATTCCCAGCAAAACTCCATTAAGTCAAAGATCATCGTGCTGGATAATGCATCTATCCATAACCTGATTTTCGTGGCCATTTTCGATGGTTCTTTCCATGGCTTTCCGGTGAAGATGTTCCCCATAACATCCCATAATCTGCCATGTAGAGGTTTCCTAAAATTTGGGTACCTCCAAATCATTCATTTCAATAGGCTTTTGCATTCTAAACCATCCGTTTTTGGGTACCCCCCCATTTATGGAAACCCCCATACATATGTATATATATATATATTTATAAATATATATAAACATATTTAAATATATATATTTAAATATATATATATAAATAACTATATAGATATATATATATATTGTTCCCATAATATCCCATCATCTACCATATATAAATCAATAAATGCATCGAAAACACCACCCATGGCTTCCCCCAGATCCAACCCTTCAGTGCCAGGTGTAGAGATCGCCTCCTTGAGCGCCTGGAACACCACGCTGGCCGCGGGCGCTGGAGCATGTGGAACCTTTCTGCACTCGCGGCCTGGCATCCTCCAAGATCCAAGTGGAAAGGAGGGTCCCAAAGGTCCCAAGGATGGCTGGAAAGGTCAAGTCATGTCAAGTCGAAGTTTGCCGGAATCTTTTTTCGGAATCTGTTTTTGGAATCGCCCGTGGGGCTCCAAATTGTCGTCATCCGCCTGAGGTGCATCTTTCATAAGAACATGCAGTTGGGTTTCATTTGCGTCTCGGCATGTCGCCAGCATGGTTGCCCCGCGCTGCCCCCATCCCATTGGCTAGAAGATTGAACGACTATGGACAAGTTTGATCAAGTGCTAGGAGACAATAGGATACAAAACAATCCCCGGATAATCATCCAATCATATCATATCATATCATATTCATATATATATATATTTATATTCATATTGCTATATACTATACACAATTGCTTCACACTTGTGGCAATCTTCGGTGCTCGCTGCGCGTTGCGCACTTTACTCGTTATCGTTTTCACCAGCCGGCTCGAGCCCGACTTGGCTGGGATTTTCCACCATGTCTGCTGGGAAATCACCATGAATAAACCATATTTTTTAATGAGTAGCCTCTGGTTATTTAACATAATAAAACTGGTGATGGTTTACCGAACTTAAAAATGGTGATTTTCCATGGCTATGTTAAATAACCAGATGGTAAATATATTTGGGTTATATATACCCTCTGGGTATTTGTTACATAGCCATGGTATAGATGGCCCATTGAAATAGATGATTTTCCCAGCTAGAAACCTCCATTTACAAGGGATTTTCCATGGCTATGCTAAATAAAAAGAGAGTAAATAAACTATTTCTATGGCAATTGTCAATAGCAAACTGTAAGAAATTACCAGAGGGTAACTATGGTAACTATGTGTGACATAGTTGTATCGTTATGGAAAAATTGGTGTCGAGCTCCGGACAAAGAAGATGTCCATGGACACAACTCGAAGCCATGACCACACTGAGGCAATGGACTTTTATCCGGCCTGGTCTGTTTGACGGTAGCATGTGCCTTGCCTGGTCATCCAAAGGAAACCTGGAAAGTGGTCGTTTAATGTCGTGGACGCCATGAATAAAGATGTACAGTATATGATATACCAAGATTACTACGAAATGAAAAATCCCCTGAGAATGAGGATTAATATATGGAAAAATGTATTGAACATATACTAAGATCTCATTAATCCAATAATCAGGATATCATAGATTCAGTTGTTTGTTGCAAATTATCCAAGACCTTGGGTTTTTTTGAGCTCATGCCCTGAGCGCCTGTGAGGTGAATATCGGTCATCCATATCAACCCTTTTAATGGGGGTCCCCCTATACTTTAGATGGATTGTCCATGCAGTAAATCATAGTAAATCATCCAGCTATGCAGTTAGGATTTTGATATGGAAAATCCAAGATATATAAATCATGATACGGATATACATATATCCATAGTGGTTATATAGTAGTGGTAAATCCTAATTATTAATTATGATATGGAAAATCCTAATTATCATCCATGATATGATAAATTATGATATACAAAAATGGGATGATTTGTGGGTACCATTTCAGGAAACCTCCTGGAATCATCACCATCCATGGAAAGTCGCGGTCTGCATCCTCAAGTGGCACAGGGGGTATGATGGGGTCCAAGATATTCATGAAAAAACATTTATGTCTATGTTTAATCTATCTATCTATCTATCTAATCTAATCTAATCTAGTCTAGTCTAATCTAATCTAATCTAATCTAATCTATCTATCTATGTATCTATCTATCTATCTATCTATCTATCTATCTATATATATATATTGATTTATTTAATATGATGCCCATGAATCATTGTTACATTAACATTCCTCGCTGCGCTTCGCAGCGAGGTGACATTTTGACACCTGCAGCTACCGTCCTGCTTGGCTTCTTGTGTGGTTTCCTGGTGTACCCTGCAGGACGGGGAGGGCCTCCAGTTATGCTTGTTGGTTTACAACCCCCATCAACTAGTTCGAAATATATATATATATACAATATGTAAATAAAAAAGTAAGTAACTAACTGAATAAATAAATACACAAAGAGAAAGAGAGAGAGAGAGAGAAAAAATAAAAAAAAAACACAAACCTAGCTATTGGAGGTACAAACCAGCTTAGCCAACTATGGCATACCACCTTGCACCGTTGAACAGGCAGCTATGCTCTCAAAAAGATGCGGATTGACGACCCTGCAGCTGCTTGACTGCAAGGGCTCGGGGGACTGCAAGGGCTCGGGGGACATGTGCCGAAGGTGCCTGTCGCAGCACTCGGTTCACCAACGGCTGACAATGTTCGGAATCAGAATCCCCTGGGCTGTTGAGGAGGTACCATGATAGTAGCAGCCGAAACATTTTTTTTTTTTCGGTGGTGGGGTTGGCACCCGGAACCCCCCGTGATTGATGAACCGGTTTTCATTCATCCGAGGTTCATATATGAAGAACATTTCATCGTAGTCTGATCACAATGCCATCCGGATGTATCAAACAGATGTTCAACATTGAAGGGTGGCATTTTGTTTTTGGAGGATGGTGAGAAATCCGATCTTTGGATCCAAATCTGCCTTCAACATGGCGTCAACTCGCGTCCAGACATTCAAATCACTGCCATCTTAGCTGTGAATAATGCAGCGACTTACCCATGTTTCATGCATGAAACGATGGTTGGTAAAGGGAATCGTCCCAAGAATGGTTTTGTTTCTGCTTCGGAGACTATTTTTCAATTTGCCGATCTTTTACCTCAAGCACCGCTAAAATAAAAGGCTCGTGGCTGAGAAGATCGTGTTGGAAAATGCCGGAGATTTGAGTTTTCGATCACAACATCTTAACATCACATATTCAACGCCTTGAACCACGTTTCTGAAGCAGAGATTTCCTCACGGTCCTCAGTCCTCATTTCTCGAGGATGCTATCCCCGTTCACGGCGGCTCCGCGATTTTTGGGATCCTCTCGGTGGCCTTCTGTGCGCGATGGTGATGGGATTTCTAGGAAGTTCCATGGAGTTTCAGCCCAAATGCATCGGAGATATCATGGGATTGCCATTTTCCCCTCTGGTACTTTTAACATGATTATACCATATTATATACTGGCTGGTGGTTTGGAACATTAATTTTATTTTTCCATATATTGGGCAGAATCATCCCAACTGACGAACTCATATTTTTCAGAGGGGTAGGTATACCACCAACCAGATATTATATAGCTATGGAAAATGTATCTTGACGTCTCTTGAGCTAAATATTTGGAAATAAGCCTTTCTTTATCTTGACATAGCCATGGAAATTCAACGAACATCACTAGTTTCAATGGGTATATAAAGATATGATATATATATATATATTATATTGTCATCTATCAATGAATGTTAAATTGCTGCAGGGTAAAGGAAATGGGACATCTTGGGAATAAGATGAGAAGATAGCTGGCCAGATAGGCTGAGACATGCTGCGACGAACACAGTGGTGCTTTCTCCCCCAGAAGATGCCCAGGAGATGGAGCCCTGATTTTTGGTTCCAAAAAATCATGGAACACCTGGTTTTTCCAGGGTAATATATGGATATATTATGGATATACATCCCATATGCAAACCCATGGTGCTGGTATATAAAAACCTACATGACTGGGTGATTTTGGACAAGGGCAAATGTTGGGATTCATATTCCAGCACCATGGTTCGCACATGGCTATGCTAATATGATGTAATATGCAATTCCATGCTCGCCATATGGGTATACAGCGTCCCTGAATTGAAACCCTGGGGCCCTGTATTCCTCAAGGTCCAGTCACAGGGGCTTCATCTATCGAAAAATTGGATGATAGAGAAATGAATCACGACAGCTTCATATCCAACACTGGGAGAACCCATGAAACTTCAGAGTGATGACTGGGAAAACCCATGGTTTCCCTAAAATTTCTCGGGATTTTTTGGTCTGAAGAGTGGGTGCGATGGTACCATCCCTTATTTAATAAATGAAAGGATTAACACTGCCTTGCAGTGCCCGTGAGGTACTCCTTCCTGCGACACTGAGAGTGGATCCGCGTACGGACATCATGTATTCTGTGCTGATCACCATACCATTGGCTGCTCGGGTTCAAAGGTGGCGATTTTAAAGGTGTCCAAGTGATGGCGATTCGACTCAACCAACTGAATTCAAAGGGTGCTGCCTATAAACTTCAATTGAACATTGGATACTTGAATGGCAATAAGAATGAGGAGCTAATATGTGATATCTGAGATCAAACAAACCAGGGATCATAGAGGTGAGTATCCACCGCTGGGGTGATCTGCGCTCTGCATATTGCTTCAAGCTGCGTCTCGAGGCGCTTAAGGTGTCGATGCGGATTGTTTACAGCGAAACACAAATCTGAGAGCGAACAGTGAAACCAATTCATGATTTTAGCACGCATAAATCAATATATATATATATATAAATCATATAGTGGTGACCTGCTCCTTCTTGTCACTGGGCTTGGCTCGCCTTTAGCCTTTGGCTAGACTCCTAGAGATGGCGATGAAGAGAGAGATAAACCATATAGTCTTTCGCCACCAATGAAATTCATGATGTCGGAATCTATTGTAAATAAATTTAGACTATTTAGCATCGTATAAATCATATACCATCTGGTTATTTGTTACATAGCCATGGAAAATCACAATTTTTAAGAACGGTAAACCATCTATTTCTATGGGCCATCTATACCATGGCTATGTTAGTCATAACCAGAGGGTAAATGCTTCCAATCTTTGGCCACCAATGGATGGGGGTTTGGTGCCAAGCTTCAACAGGAGCGCCGTGCCCCAAATGACCCCGAAATCTCATGGTGAACATCCCGTTTCCCTATTCAGATGGCCTTTTCTTTAGGGGGGATGGCGTTTTTGTTTGGCGGAGTGACCTTCAATGACCCAAAAATGTAATTTCTAAAACTGCTTGTTTTAGTATCTGTCGGTCATGATCACCATTTTCAGCATTTCGTGGTACTGCAATCTACCTAGACCCTCCAAGTACCTCCAAAAATGATGTGTTCCCCTCACAATCTTAGTACATCTTAGTAGCATGTTATAGCTTTTTCCATGTTTTTTGAAGTACAACTGGGGGGATTTATATCTTTTAACACCCAAAATATATCAAAAAATCCGCAGCCGACCTTCAGGTGGTCAGCTGTTGGTGCAGCTCCTTGGTGTTGGGACCATCCTGGTTTGGATTTCTTGCGTCCCTTGGAGACCGAAATTGGAAAACATGGAAAACCACATGGGTTGCAGTTACAGTGCTTCTTCTCAATATATAATAGAAACGATGAATATCAATATTATGGAAACAATACATAGGTTGCAGCGTTTTTTTCTCAATAATAGAAAAGATGAAGATCAATACTATGGAAACAATATATAGGTTGCAGCATTTTTTCTCAATAATAGAAAAGATGAAGATCAATATTATGGAAACTATATATACATAGGTTGCAGCGTTTTTCTCAATAATAGAAAAGATGAATATCAATATTATGTAAACAATACATAGGTTGCAGCATTTTTCTCAATAAAAAACATGACTATCAATATTATGACTTGATATGATGGTTGCTGGGTTTCCAATAGATCTCGGCAATGAATCGAAGAGTGTTTAGGGTTTGCAGGCTGGAATGATCCTTGAGAGTGGCCAGTACGGCATCACGTATCTTCGAGTAAACTAACATACCCTCTGGTTATGACTAACATAGCCATGGTATAGATGGCCCATAGAAATAGATGGTTTACCGTTCTTAAAAATGGTGATTTTCCATGGCTATGTAACAAATAGCCAGATGGTAGCTTAACCAAGCTATTGAAAAGGGACCATTCGTGGATGATTTAGCTAGTCATAGCTAGTGATTCTCCTTAGCCATGGTCGTTTGCCAGAAACATTTGCACACAATCTACCGTCTTGAAATACCACTATAATGGCGGTCAACAGCCCTTTAAAAAACTACTTCTACTGCTTGTATATAACCTTCGGTTGCCGAAAGTGGCGATTTAACTTGCCGACTGCGCATGGCTTTCCCCACATAAATCGGTAGAAAAGACAAGTGACTACGATCAAATATGCATCTAATATCATCGAATCATATTGGCGCCCCAATTATAAGTTAATTTATAAACCCACATTATCTAGTATATGTCTAGCAATGTCTAGAGTTCACTAAGGCAACTTAGCTATGTTTTTTTTGACCCCACCTTAGCTAAATTTTCCCCGTACCTTGGTGCCTTGGTAGATCGTGAGGTGATTTTTCCGGTTTGGGCCATCTTTTTGGTGTCGGAGTTTGTCTACGCCTTGGAATTGGAGCAGCTTTCTGACACCTACGAGCTGCTCGCCAGGAATTGTTCAGCGGCGCCAGATTGAATCTGGCCATGGAAGATGCAGAGTTCCCATTTTCCCATGATTGGATCTCGCGAAAAAGACGAAACAGAAAACACACACAAACACACACATATATATATATAATAATAATAATAGTAAGAATAATATATAGATGAAACATCATTTTATAAATTCTCAGATGTCTATTTTTTCCCATTCTTTTAAGCTTTGACATCCTAGAAAACCGTCCCTAACAATTCACCAGCATGGCAGGCGTTCCCTCGGTCCGAGGCGTGCCGCCTGCCACGTTGATCTAGAGGCAGCCAGACTTTCGTTGGAGGCGCCGGGGTGGGCTCATTGGGAAGATGCGCAAGGAAGATGTGTGTGTGTGTTTTTCATAGGCAATAGCCTCTGGTTATGAAAAACCATGGGAAAACTATGGGAAAATTGTGATTTAATGGTGATTTATCCACGATTAATGGTGATTAATGGTAATTGACCCTCTGGTTATTTGTTACATAGCCGTGGTATAGATGGCCCATAGAAATAGATGATTTTCCCAGCGAACGAAACCTCCATTTATGGTTGGGATTTTCCATGGCTATGTTAAATAACCAGAGGGTACCCTCTGGCTTTTACATAGAAAAAACGATGGAAAGATCCACAATTTTTTAATGAATAAAGATAAAAATGGATTTTGCTAAACCATGGTTTATGAAAAAAGGGGGGTACTCCCCAAATAGTGGTAATCCAATACTCAATGGTACCTCCCCAACCAAGCAGCCTAAGGGTTTATTCATCCGGGGTTGATATTACTAACTATCATTGGATTGAAAAACCCATTTTTATTCATTGGATTGCAATACTATGTTTAATAGGCAATTGCCAATGATTCCAATCAGTTGGATACCTTCTGGTAAACTAACAGTTTGCTATCTCAAAAATAGGCAAGTCAACTATTTCTATGTGCCATTTTCATCCATTTTCAATGGCTATGTTGAATTACCAGAGGATCTACATGGGGCTCCGAACCATCCATTTGGGAATAGTTTCTACAACCTATGGTGATGATTGGGGGAAGGTGCAGATGGCATTGTTTTACCCACAAAAAAAATCATTGTTTCACAGGATCTTCCATGAAGATCCATATTTTTCTGTGAGTTTTCCATTGACATCCAGCTATTGGGGCACCCTTAACACATGAAAACTCCATGTGTTTTTCAGGTGGCTTTTCGCCATCAACTGCTGCGGGATTTCCCAAGCATCCACCGTTGTTTTTTGGATCATATTGAGACTATGCAGATCGCACGAATGATGTACAACGTGGGAAAACCATGGGAACATGGTGATTTAATGGTGATTTATCCATGATTAATCCATGATTAATGGTGATTAATGGTCATTTACCCTCTGGTTATGACTAACATAGCCATGGGAAATGACCCATAGAAATAGATGGTTTACCTTTTAAAAATGGTGATGTTCCATGGCTATGTTAAATCACCAGATGGTAGATGAAATATCAAAGTTTTTTTTCCATTAAAAAATGTTACTTCCATCCAGTCTGAACATACTCAAACTATCCGATTGGCATTTTTTTTCTGCTGACCTTCTCTGGATTCTGGATTTCCAATCTGAAAGCAAAGTACCCTCTGGTAATTTAACGTAGCTATTGAAACTTGCCATTTATAGTGAGTTTTCCCATTAAAAATGGTGATTTTCAATAGCTATGTTAGTTTACCAGAGGGTATTTCTTGGGGGCTCCCCATGCTTCAAGATTCCAGGAGTCATGGATTTCCTTCATTTCAATCGCACGGATCGAATGGAAACGTGCTGTGCCACGCGTTTCTACGCGTGGCTAATGAACCCTTCATTGAAAACCTTGATCATCCCCGTGGTTGGAGTAGAACTCCAATATGTTTGGTTGGTAAAAAACCACCATGAGCCAGCATTTCGGAAAAATACCTAAAGATTGTTATCATCGTTGTGTTTAGTTCACCTAGGAAGTTGCAGAACTGAAAATCTACAGAGAACCTCTATTTTTCATAGTATTCTTAGTTTATTCATGGTAAAATCTTTGGTCTCCCGTATGACTATCCCTTCAACCAATCCAACGACAGTTAAGAACTGGTTAGATCATGTTAAATCCCCATTTTCTCCGGTTCAATCCCCATTTTGCCACGTGTTCCATCACCCAAAAAAAACAGGAAGACTTTTGGACGGGTGCGGCACGCAATTCGCGGATCACCCGGCACCTCCTTCGCCACTTGGTGTGGGAATATGTAGCGGGATGCTGGGTATTCGTGGGATATTAATGATATTATATAATTATATAAGTTATATATATATATATATATTATATATATATACCCTCTGGTAAATTAACATACACCCTGACAAAATTCTAGTTTTAATGGAAAATAATCTTCCAACCCCTATCTTCCAGGGTTTATGTTGATTTACCAGAGGGTATATATAGTGGGATGTTGAGGATGTTAGTTAGTGAGATGTTCAGGACGTATTATTGGATATATCAATGAATCAATGTGATGTCAATAGGATAGGAATGTGGAGAATCATCCCGTATGATGCCGTATGATAACAGTTGTTTTCAGGTTGGTGAATTACTTTATTCAGCAATATATATATATATATATTGTGGGGATATGATGCGATATGATTGAATATATGATGTATATATAATATATATATATATATGTGTGTGTGTGCCTGTACATTAGGGATCCAATCGCTTGTCCAGTTAAGATACCATTGTGACAATATACCCCATCATCATGTACCTGTAATGCAAGGACACCAGTGTTTGAACTTGGCCTGACTTTGAGAAAAGACACAGCCTGTCCGCGTGTCCAAAAAGAGTGAAAAAGGTGGCATTCACGGCTTGAATAGATGTGGGGTTAACCTTGCAGGTTTTCCATGTCAAAACTCAAAAATGATCTTATATATTATTTTGGAAAATCCAGCATTTATAGATGATTTAATCATATTTAATCATTGAATTGTCCAAGTAAAAGCAGCAAATAAGGCTAATCTGACCCCCCCCAAAAAAAAAAAAAACGCGCCCCGCACGGCAGCGTTACTGGGGTCAACATGGCTGGAACTGGATTGGGTCACCGTTGCCTGAAAGCGACGACTGGATGTGTGTGTGTGTTTAATTAATGTTAATGTTAATATATGTTAATGGATATTAGTCTGGATATTAATATTAATGGATACTAAAGGATATTAATGTAAATGGATAATTCACTTAATGGCATATTCATTCAATGTTAATTGCATTTAATGGTGTTGAATTGCATTTTAATGTTAATGGCATGTTCATGATTAGTTTTTAAGTCATGGATTATTGTTAATGGCATGTAATGGCATACAAAAATTAGAGATTGATGGGATTCATTTTCATGGGGTGATGATAATAGTGATGGGATTTTATAATGAGATGTTAATAGGATATATGGCTGTCTGGATGAATTTGATCATGACCTCACGTCGTTATCAGTGATGGCATCTGATGGCTAGGATTCGGGGAATCATTCCAACCAGATTTTGATCTTTTTGCAGCCAATGGGTGCATAGATGCAGGCAGAGGGAGGGAGGGAGGGAGGGAGGGAGGGAGGGAGAGAGAGGGAGAGAGAGAGAGAGAGAGAGAGCAGGAGGGAGCGAGAGGGGGGGAAGACACACACACACATGTAGTATATATACATACACATATATAAGACATATATATATGTGATGTGCAACCCCTATCGGTTGCATCGAGACCTTGGCGCCCCCGTGTCAACTTTAACTTTGGCAGGTCAACCCCAATAGCTGGATGGTTTATATATGTTTTTATATATGTTAATATACCCCCATTTTAGGAAACCTCCATAAGTATATATATATGCATAGACAGATAGATAGATAGATAGATAGACAGATAGATAGATAGATAGAGATAGATAGATAGATAGATAGAGATAGATAGATAGATAGAGAGAGATAGATAGATAGATAGATAGAGATTTATCTTAGATATAGATATACATTGGGGGGCCGAAAACCATAGAAAACCCAGATATACCCAGCTTACAGTGGCCAGTTGCCTAGGTTTAAAGATGCAGCGGCTGCGAGTGACTTCCGTCAAGACATGGTGGAAGCGATCCACAGCTCAAAAACGGTGCGCGCTTTCCCGAGCTCCGAACATTTCTGGTTGGGTCGAGCGGTACGATAGATTGAAGCAGAATTCTAATTCTACCTTCCCCATTCCCAATAGCCGTCCCTACTTTTGCCCGTTTTAGATGTAAAATCTTCAGAAAATGATGTGGAGACCGCCAACGCCTGAGAATAGCAAAGTGGACATCACTCAAGGAAATGCATGTTTTCTTCCCGTCGCAGATCATCTAAAGATCTTTCAGCTCACACGCTTATAGAACTATTATATATTATATAGTTTAAGCGTTTAAGCACCAAAAGTCGAGTTATAACTGCCGATGTTTTTTGTTTGTGTTTTTTTTGTTTTGTGGTTTTTGAGGGTTGAATATATGATGTTCCATCATAAAGCACGTGATCTCTACCCCGAGGGCAAACTGAAAGGATCCTAGATGAAACCTGGTCCCAAGTAGTGGTGTTAAACTGCCTCATCAGCAAAATGTAAATGATATCACATATGGTTCCATGTTAACACATCAAAAAAATCATGTGTATCTTACCCAGGATTATCCGGGTATGATTTTCTAATGATATTCCTATTCCACTTCGATGATCTTTCATGATGACATGTTAAAATATCCATTCTATCGCATCCATTCCGAAGATTTTTCCATGATAACGAAGTGACCATCGGATATCCATGGATATCCACTATATATATATAATTATATATATATAATATGTTCACTATATATTTCCACGCTATATTCCCACCATATTTTCACTATATGTTGGATCCATTTTCAGATGCCTCAACGCCTCAACGTGCGTTGCTGAATCCATTTACCAGGCCCTCGAGATGGACGGTGTGGCTGTTCGGCTGCTTCACGGCATCTTGGGCGGAAAACGACGGATTTTGGATTTGGGATCCCTGGGGATTTCAGCCAAAAATGATGCCTAAAAAATCTGTGTTTCATGCAGATGGAACATATTTGATACGACATATTGACATATGGCTCATTTATGGGGTAAATGTTGTTAAATATTCCGTACACGGAGCATATGGATATGATGATATATGATGATATGACATATCTGGAAACATGATTCGGAAAATCCCATCTCTTCAATTGTCCATCGAATCTGTTCCGGGAAACGGTTGTGGACGATCCGAGAAAGCGTTTGGGGATCGAAATTAGGCATGCACAGAATACGCCAACGGTTGGGCCCCCAGTCCAAAATAGGGCCATTGATTCCCGGAGGCATTGCTCGACAATTTGCACGGACACTTGGCAGATAGGCATCTCAGGTCGCGGGATGATGGGAGGATTGGGACCAGAGCTACCAAAGCTACGATAATTTTCAAAGAAATGCAGCAGATGCGCATCTGGGTTGACTCTCTCATCGGAGTTTTCCACTTGTTTTTTGGTGATAAAAAGGATGTAAAAATAAGTCACAGTGCTAAACTGATGCCAGGTTTCCATATGTGTCCATATATTTCAATAAATTAGATATCTATCAACATGTTGTTTCCGGACAGACCTTGGTAGAAATGGAGTTTTCATCGGAGGACCTTTTTGCAGCACCTGCCGGATCTAGTTGCCACGTTTCAGTGCCGGGGGGTGGGTGGGTGAAATTTATGTATAACCTCCATCAACTACAGATCACCTACCATAAACTTAAAATTAAACTATAGCTATATCCAGTTAGGAAACAATAATTTGAAGCTATTAAGGGGGAACCACCCTGTACAATCCTTGAACTGTATCTCTGTGCAAGCATCCTGCAGATCAAATATTGGTTTCCCCCTGTTTCCCCCTTCCGGGTTTTCCGGAGAGTCCTACTTCAGCTTGATTTGTGGGTACCTTATTTTCAGTCAAACCTATTCGCTCTGGAAACTCTGAGTAGCTCCGCAATGTTCCGCGTTAGGTTCCGCATTTCGTAGGGAAAAATGGTCCAAACCGCTCCCTCCTAACCGTCCTGGCCCTTGAGTAGCTTGGGAACTCCCCGCCCCCGCGTTAGGTTCCGCTGCTTTCGCGAGCTGGCTCGGATCCGCTTGCGCATCGCGCCCTTTGCAGAGTCACGCGACTTCGATTTTGGGGATGCAGTCGGGGATGTGGTCCTTGGAAGCCTTGGAATATGTGAAGATATTACCATCTGGTTATTTGTTACATAGCCATGGAAAATCACCATTTTTAATAGGTAAACCATCTATTTCTATGGGCCATTTTCCATGGCTATGTTAAATAACCAGAGGGTATGAAGATATTAAGCATCATCAAAAGTTGGGATATATTGAGAGAATTGTGGTGATGTAATGGTCGCTTAATAATGTGAATGGTTGGGAATAATGTGGGGCCCACCCAATGCTAGAACCATAAAAGATAAATTGGTGGACACTATGCCACCCCCAGATGGTAGACCAATTATTGGGGTTACCACATCAGCCATTGGCCATGGTCGTAATGTTTATTTACAACCATCATAAGTTGGAATATAGCCCCTGTATGGCCTCTTGACCCATGCTTAAATAAACTGGAACCCTCAAGGGAGATACATCCACTCATTTGTTTTCTTTTTATTGTAACTGGGTATACTGAACACACACATAATACAGTTATATATATATATACACATGCGCCAAACCGTTTTTTGCAGAGAACCTATATGTCCTCTTTTCGGGCATTTCATGCTGAAGAGATCTCAACAGATTAGCACATTCATGTGGTTTTGGGAATGCTTACTTGGGCCTGCTGCTTTTCTGTGCTACATGGGTGACATGCTTATTTAATTTAGGGATACCAATTCCTATGGTTTAATGGAGTGACTTTAGAAACGTACCCTCGGGTAATCAAACATGGCAATGGAAAACCCGCAATTTATAGATGATTTTCCCATTAAAACAATCATTTTCTTGGGAATGTCCCCTTGCCACGTTTGACTACCTGAGGGTGCTGTGAGAACCTGGCAGGTATACAACATCCTCCATTCGTACAATGCCCATTGGTTTACATGTTTAGGCAATACCCATGCCATAAACATCGAGAAACCCCACTTATAGGGCCTAGCCTAGCTTAATCTAAAGCAATTTACCTCAACTTACTTCAAATTTCTTGCTGAACTCCGCAGTTTTTTTGAATGGTTCTTTTCCTATCCAAAAATATGGGCTGCGGAAGTTGCAGGTTATCAGGGCTTGGTGCCATGGCCGGGACCGGAAAGGAGGCGATCTCTGTGCAAAGTGGGCGAAGTAGGGCTGATGGTAGGTGAGTGCCCAAAAAAGATCATGATAGTTATATATCTATATTATATTATACATTATATATTATATTGTTATTTATTTTACATTATATATTATACATTAAATTATGAATTATATATTTTATGTTATTTATTGTATATTATCTACTATGTATGTTATTATAGTTTATTATACATATATATACAATATATATATAGTATATAATGGATGTTCATGGAATATTGGCAACATTGGTACTGGTAGCCTAAATGGTTCACTGGGATAATCCGTTGTTAGATTCCGTTGTGAGACCGTGGTTGCGAAATCCATTCATTACCACCCGGGGGATGGGTTGAAACCCTCAAAAATCATGGGATAAACCAACTAGATAGGTGATTTATGGGTGGTTTATCCTATAAAAATCATGGTTCTATCAATGGGTGATTGCTGCCATTTGGATAGAACGAACTAGTTTTTAAGGGCCTTTGAAACCAACTTATAGCGTAGAAAAACCCGGCCTGGTCATAGCTGGAAAATCCCCTTTTTTACATAGAGCCATGGTGATGGTTAGGTGCACAAGAAACCGGTTGACCCTCAGAATCACATCTTTTTTAGAGGAGTGGGTCTGATGGTAGTAATATGTTGGGGTGTATAACACAGATTGACCAACATTGACCCTCAAATCGATTTTTCATAACTGTGATTGTTGACCAACAATTGTCTTTTAACACTCCATTTGCCAGGGTCTATGGTAGTTGGAGGGTAGTAATGATAACGACTTAAACCCGCAATCTCAGATGTATAGATCGCAACTTCAAACGGCGCCAGATTGCCACGCAGATTTCTTTCAGATTTGGGAGTGGTAACACCATTGCCATTGGAGTGATTTAATGAATTTTTTCCGAGCCACAATCTTTATCCCAGAAATGATTTCGCGAGGCTTAAATTATTTGTTGTTTGGGACATACTGTAACTTTCCTAGTTGGCAGATATCTGGTTGGTGGTTTGTTTTTTTCCCCCTATGGGACTAATAATCCCAACTGACTAATATTTTTCAGAGGGGTAGGTATATCACCAACCAGATCTGTTTGGCATACCTTAGTTGTAACACCTAGCAACCACTGTGAAGATGAGCATTTTCAGTCCTCTCCATGCTCTGCCTAATGTTGCAATGTTGATCTAAGGATCACGTTTGTCACACGTAGTTTTCACCATTGGAGATGACACCCCGAAATTTCCAAATGGCTGGCTGATGCGGGACATAGCCACCCTGGCTTTAGTTAATTTAGTGGGACTTCACCCTCGTTGGTAGTTGTTCTAAAAGGCTGTTCACACCATCATTCTAGCTCCAAGTTACCCAAATTCACAAAAAATACCTATGCCATGAATCCATCGTACTCCAGACCTGTCTCTTTGGACCCATTGTTTTCCCAACCTGTTTCCCTGTGTGTGACATGTTTCACACCTGTGAATTGACTAGTTGCTGTGGGAAGATCTTTCAGCTCAATTTGGAAATTGTTTGGCACCATGTCGATGCCTTGTGTTGTTCCTGAAATGCTATGGAGCCTGGATGAGCTAAAGCGTACCCTGATAAGTGAGTTTCCCATTTTGAAGACTGAAGAAGGAGAGGGTTTCAAAATATTGTTTGACTTGTTTGTTGAATGGGCTGAAATCCTGTTACATTACCACAACCAGCATCGGCTCTGTTGAATTTGGGGAATTGTGGCCCAGAATCCTTCTCTCAGGGGATTTCCGGCCGCGCATACTCATGTGGCATCGCACTCGAGGGGTGTCATCGCAGTCCAGAGGACCCCATCGCACTCCACATACATACCCACAGATCTTCGTACTCCACTAAAGGCATCGTATACCAGAAAAACCGACGCATGCAGCCAAAAACATTTTTTTTGAAAAAATGAACCTGAAGATGTTTTTTTTTCCTCTTCGGAGGCAAAATGCTCTGGAATATGATCATTTGGAATATGGGGGAAATCGTTGTTTTTCCAGCATTTTGAAGAGTCGCACATACAATCGTATTCCATCAAATTTTGATACTTTAGACCTGTGGAGGCTATGGAAATCCTCGGTTGTGATGTTAATCGTGCAGAATGGAGTGTGATGCTTTGTGGGTATCTGGAATGGAAATTGTGACCCCAATTTGATCAAAAAAGATGTCAACATATGCTTGAGAATCCCACATGCAGGGCTGGCAACGCATACCAGGGGGGCATCGCACTCCAGGGGTGGCATCCTACTCAATGTAACTGTATTAAGTGGAAATATGATACCATTTGGGTTCGAGGAAGAACAGCGTAATCCAGACTTGGCCCAGTTTACGGATTTGGAAGCTGAACCGCCAGCCAAACGCGTCAAAAAATAAGCTGAACAGCTTATCCAATGGTCTTAAAAGATCCCAGAGAGAAGTTGATGATTGATGAGAGAAACAAGACTGTATGTTTATTCAAGAAATCATTGCTTGAGAAGCTGTGGGCTCAAAGGATCTTAGCGGGGTTAAACATGTGCGATTGGACATGACAGCACGTGACAAGGGAAAAGGTGGGCCTGACAAGGGTCACACAACCAAATTCTCACCATCAAAGGTCGTTAATGATTCTCCAAACTTCCGGAGCTATTTTGGCATGGAATATGAACAGCCTTGGAATATGAGTAAGATTTTGCTAGAATCATTTGAATATGGAATATACGTGAGAAGTAGGTCTTGGTTGCTGATTTCAGGGGGTAAAAAAAACACAATCTTCTTCGGACTATCACAATCCACCACGGGAATCCCATCAGCCAGGCCATTTTTTTGTATTCCAATGATGTCTTGCCTTTTATCCCACCATATTTGCGGTACCAGTAAAAAGCGCGAGATTTTCCAGTAGGTCTCAAGTCCGCTCATTTCAACTGGGCCAACCTTGCTTCGATACTTTTTAGTACTTTCATTTTTTGCTATCATGCAATTTTAAAATGTACTAACCAGCTAAATACTAGACTTTTTGGCAGGTATCTCAGATTCACCATGTCAACATTCCTGTTTTTTATGCCCCCCTTTTTGGATTCCTCCGGTTTTAAGTTTCCAGCAGGTGGCCGAGATCATCAGAGAAGTGATGCTGGCGAAATTCTGGGGTTCTGGCGAAATGCCGGACTTATGTGAATGAATAGAATATTAATAGTACAGCAACACACCTTAAAAAACATAGAAAAGGGAACTTAATCACAACCTTTTCGTGGGATGTTATGAAAAACTCCATCAAGTTATATATATGGAGTTTAATGAATAGTGTAATCACACCAAAAGAAAAACTAAGACATCTTTCGGTATCGCCGCAGTCTTCCAACAGCAAACTGCTTGGAGGATCATCCAGTGGATTTGCTGGCCCTAACCGAAAGCATGGTGGATGTAGAGAATTTCCACATTCCATTGGGACCATGCAATGGGATTAATTGAAAGGGACGATCCTCCAAGTCTCAAATGAACTCCGAACTGCAAACTGGAAGCCCAGAAAAATGGATGAAATGGATGAATTAGCTGTTAAACATCGTGATTTTCCACAGCAAATATGCAACCTATGGTGCTGGTATATTTACCTACATGACTGGGTGATTTTGTTCGGGCAAATGTTGGTAAATATTCCATACATGGAGCATTTGGGACGTGGTAAATTACCGAAAGGTGAGAGTTGTTTTGGTTTTCTTTTGCAGGGTGTCTGAGTAGCCGGAGTAGCCATGGTTGACTTGCCATACACATCTAAACGACATCTGGTTGGTGGTTTGCAACATTTTTTTTCCAGATATTGGGAATTTCATAACCCCAACTGTTACTCACTCCATGATTTTTCAGAGGGGTAGGTTCAAACCACCAACCAGACATCTTTAGCAGAGGCTCAAGAAATCACCAGCATTGTCATGGTCTATTTGCGTACCCAACAATCATCCACAAGAAACGGGGGATGGTCAGGATGGTTTAATATTGTGAATCCTGGATCGGGATACCCTCTGGTAATTTAACATAGCTATAGAAAATCACCATTTCTAATAGGTAAACCATCTATAAATGGGCCATTTTCCATAGCTATGTTAGTTTACCAGAGGGTAAGGGATTTGACTTCTTGGGAGATCTTTCGGTGCAACAGCCGCCAGGTTTTAGAAATCGTCACAGATTCCCATGGTGAAGCTTGGTGAAGTTTCTTCAGACATCGGAGCTGTTGCAACTTATCTTGCCCTTTATGCAAGGTAAAAATATGTCGCCGTAACAAAAACCATGCACATCCTCTGTAAAATGAAGGTTTCAATGGGAAAATCATCAACAAATGCTGAATTTTCCAAAGTGTTTTGCTAATTTACTTAAAGGTAGCCAACTCTTGGGTGGTATTTCTTAATATATCGGTGGCACATAAAGTTCTCATCCTGGACCAGCATGTGTTCACAACTTGAAGGATATGCATCAACGATTGATGGGGACAATCTGAATCATCTTCAGGAATTCGATTCTGGGGAACATTGGCACTAATCAGTGAAGTGACCTCTTACGGGGGGGAATTCACAATGTGGAAACCATTGAACATGTTGGTTAAACAAATTACTGTTCCTTGGAGCCATATTTGACATTATTTGACCAGATGACCGCTCTGTCGTTTAAAATGCGTCCCTACACAGATATTGAATACGGAACATGAAAAGAATCCATGGGGATTGGGGGGTTTCCGCCATAGATTTTCAGACAAGCGCAGTTGGAAGATGTGTTGACCGATCTGTGAACGGTGGCAATGATCAATTGCCCAGGGGTTCCATGTGGTATGGGCTGCTATATGGAACACCTGAGCAAGATAGAAAAGTCCCCCTAGCAAAGAAAACTGGTAAATGACTGGTTCAATATGTTCTATTTATTTGGGGGGGTTAGTTACTATAGTTGTCATTTTCCGGTACACGTTTACATAGATGTGGAAAACCCATGGTTTCCCTGTGAAAATGATCTACAAATAGTGTTTTGTTTTGACATCTATGTTAGTTTTCAGGAGGGTACATATTTACGGTTGAAGTATCAAATGTACAGTTGAAAATGGCACATTTATAGTATTTATAGTTGATTTTGCGTTTAAAATTGTGATTTTTAGTTGCAAACTGTTACTTTACCTGTATCCACTTTAAACTATAAATTCATCTTGGAGTTATATATAAATATATAGATGGAACATCATCATTTATGACTAGTTTATAGTTAATATAGCTATTTTCCGTTTTTTTTTTCAATAACTATCATCACCATTAAAATTTAAAATTATCATGTTCCATCCCTATTTGACCAGAGAGTATATCCCAGTAAGTGGTTACAATCCCACCATACGTTCCATTAAAACCCCATCAAATCCCATGGTGATTTTGTTGTTTCAAAGGTCACTAAAACGTGACCTCCCCAGTACTAAAAAGTATGATCACCATGTATGGAAAATCACTATGTATGACTATTCTATAGTTAATACTGGTTGGTGGTTTCAAACATTTTTTATTTTCCATTTCACATATGGGATGTCATCCTTCCCATTGACGAACTCATAATTTTCAAGATGGTTATTGCACCACCAACCAGTTGATATAGCTGTTATTTGTACCAACTTCGCTCATCACCCACTGCAGGAGGAGCGCAAAGGCGGAATGCCACTGCAGCTTCAGGTGGAGCAGCTGCGACGTCAGGTGCAAAATCAAGGCCTGACCAGAGACCCAAAGAGGGCGGGGATTTTTTGGTGGTGAAACAACATGAAACTGGTGGTTGAATGGATTTTAAGGTTGATTTAATGGCCAAATGACAATTTGATAAGGAAAATTATGGTTTAAGGGTTTAACTAATGGCCATTTAGTGGACATTGATGGAACTTAACAGGATTGAAGGAGCTTTTATGACCAACTGAATGAATATGTTTAGGTGTGTCTGAAAATCGGGTACATCCCCCAAAAGGCAAAAAAAAAACATGGGGATAGTTGCGATCAACCATCAAATTCTGGGGTTCCCTGTTGGACTATGGTAATCTTTTTCATGGCGATTGTGACTTCGATAACCTTGATCTTGAATGGTGACTGGACTTTAGTAATCCATGGCAAGCCGATCCCTCTAATAAGATCATTGGACTTTGGTTAACCCTTGGTAAACATACAAAAAACTATGGAACATGACCATTTTTAATAGGTAAATCCACTATTTCTATGGCCATTTTTGATAGCTATGTTTGTTTACCAGAGGGTAATTTGCATGATGATCTGCAGCAGTCTTCACTGCTCATGAAAATCTGGCATGGCGTGGTGGACTGTTTTTTTGTGCCCTTTAGGGTACTAGGGTAATGTTCCATTTGCAGGGGATGATTCGGATGTATGTTTGAAGATTCCTTCACTGGACCACCCCGAAAAGCACAAGCATTTGGGGACAATGTTTACCTTTTTTGTGGTCTCGGGAATGAATGGGAATGTGTTCTTTTCATCCCGTCCCCTATTCGCCCCCGATGCGGATGGATGTAGGGGATGGAATCACACATCGGACATCATGGGACCATGAATACCGTGGTGTTTCTTTTTGGTGCCATGATGGGCCATGGGTTTCTTGTTGGCTTTGCCACAACCCACAACCGCGCTGTCAGCCACGCCAGGCGTGCTGTTGCAACGCCTCAGTCGAAATAAGCGCTACGCAGGCGGGCCTCCCGTCGCTATGGCAGCTATGGCACTGGAAAATCTACCATTTGGTTCGATGGTTTTCCCAGCGAACTAAGCCACCATGGCTAGGCCACCGGGATTTTCCATGGCAATCGCCATTTGATTACCACATTTACCACAGGGTCACAGGGTAGATATGTTGCATGGAAAAGCTCTACGATGCTATACGTTTGCTGAGGTTGTTAAGGACCAAGCGCCTGTTAAACGGCATTTGAGCTGGAATTGCCCTGGCGCCAAAAAATCCAGGAGAGCTGGATCCTCAGACCCCAAGTCATCCCGTCCATTGGTCATGTCTGTAAGTTATGTTAAACGAAACTATCTTAAACGATAAGGAGATAAGCAGAAGCTGATAACTAGAACCAGCCCATGATTTAAAAAAAAAGTGGTTCATTGGTTCATGATATATCCCAATGATTCCCCAGACTTTTGATGCTTGGAGGGGATGATTTCTTCGATTTCTTCGCCCAAAACCTTTTTGGGGATGACCTTTTTGGAGTTTGAAGATGTTGAAGTTCTGTTGGTGAAACAAATTCAACACAACATATTCAACATATTCATATTCTGTTACAGAACTATGTTTTCTGGAATGCCAAACAGAACTATATGGTTCAAATATGACCTATTTTTTCTTTGTTGTCCCCAAATTCTTCCATCACAGTGCTTTTTGTAGTTCTGAAGGTCACAAAAGTTTACCAGTTTCCATCTCAAGATCTCTGAAGCATCTCAACATTTTTGGCATATCACATTGTTCCTACATTGTCATGGCATAAAACCCTATATATATATATTTATTTATACTGTATCTGATTGGTGGTTTCAAACATGTTTTTCTTTTTCCATTCAGTTGGGAATGTCATCATCCCAACTGACTTTAACTCCATCATTTTTCAGAGGGGTAGGTTCAAACCACCAACCAGCTACTGATAATGGGAAGGTTTAACCACTATAAATGGTGATTTAAGGTTTACCACCAACCAGTATATAACTAACTTATAAATCCCCGGTTTTTTTCGTGTTTTTCCCACGTTTTCGTGGCCGGACTCCCGGACTCTCCCGGGAGGCTACCGCAGCCTGACACCGCGCCTGGCGAGCGTCACGGAGGCCGAGGCCGAGCAGCCGGTGCCGGCGCCGGCGCCGGCGGAACGCGCGGACCTGGCCAGGGCTGCCACGGAGAGGTTCACCGGGGATGGATGAAGATCATTGAAGATATTTTACTGGAATAAAAATAGGATTTTAATGGGATTTTCATGGAATCTAATGGGATTTTAATCCACTATCATCCACTTAATGGGAGATACCCTCTGGTACTAACATAGCTATGGAAAAAATCACCCTTTTGAATGGGAAAATCCACTCTAAACGGCAATTTTCAATAGCTATGTTAGTTTACCAGAGGGTATTATATAGATAAATAAATAAATATATATATATATATTATATATATTATATATATATATTATATATATATTATATATATACCTGGTTAAATTATAACGACCTCACTGTTCTCCCTCACTGGAAATCATTGTTATTAAGGGAAATCATTCCCAAATGGCCGAACTATTCAGGTTAGTGAATTATAATAATTTACCCAGATATATACATGATATAGGCTATATAGCTTGAATGATGTATATATATAATTATTTATATATATATTCATTGATCATTTATATATAATATATTTTTATTTAAATATGTATATGTTTGCGTGTTACATTTTCCATATGTATTATATACATATATACATGTCCAGTGATTGATTGGGATATCCGTACAAGTCATATCAGATTCCAGCGATGAAAGAGATGGAAAGAAGGATTCATATCATTCATCCAGTAATCATCGCCATAGAAATCGCCCAAGAGACTTTAAACAAATCCCGCCAGAATAGTGGTAAAATGTGATAAATAGTCATTGTCCTTTACTATTGGAATACTGTAATAGAATTGGATGGGAACATTTTAACCTGGAAAGCCCCTTAAAATTGATGGTAAAAACCCTGGTTGCCGCCATTCAGATCTTCCCTAAAAAAATCCATTGCATTACATTGAGTCCTGTGATCCGTTGGATCGGCCGGATCACGATGAGGACCCATCGATTAGGTGTATGGTATACTGAATTCGATTTATGCTAAATCTACACCAAAGCCTGAAATTTGGACTAAAAAAAACAAACAAAAACCTGATAAAATCCCTGATTCACTTTTTTTGGGGATCAGATCGTCGCCGGCACCGTGGTATGTTTTTCCCCGGTGTTTGGGATATGTGCAAATTACCGTTGGCCTATACCGTTTTGGCAGCTCCAGTCTGGATCAACCGTGGTTGGATACGAGGCATCAATGCTTTGCTGTAAGGGGCAATAGCCTCCAGTAAACCAACAGTTTGCTATGGAAACCATGGACCATTGAAGTAGATGATTTACCTATTAAAATAGTGACTAGCCAATTCCTTTTGCAGGGGCCGGATGGCGGCCATCAAAACGATGGGGCGAATTTAGCCTCTGGTTATTCAACATAGTAACATAGCTATGGAAAATGGCACATTTACGGATGATAAACATGATCCTTGACCTGTTCGAAATGGTGAGTTTCCACATTGATCGATGATTTATGCTGATGATATACCTATGAATGCCCATTAGAAATGGTGATTTTCCAGTTACGGAAGTTCAGAAATCACCAGAGGCTCACCATCCCCAAAATCGGCAGAACCGGCCCAGGTCCAACTCTCCGAAAGCCCCCAGCACCGACGCCACACGTGGCCCACGCCACGAGCAGCCCATGCTGCCCATTGGACACTCGGAACGCGACGGGAAAATGGAAAGCTACGGAAAAATATGGAAAGGATCTGTCAAAATATGGTATAGTAGTATAGTATGGCATCAATTACATATATCATATATCGTGGTGATTATGGGAAATATGAGACACATATATCAGAAAATTGGGCTGGGTCAACCTACAAGATAAAGGTATCAGTTTGAGTGAAATGGGCATCAATTTGCCAGCAATATTTAATTTCATATATCATGACTTATAGTGGTGATTATGGAACATATGCTGGTTGGTGGTTTGGAACCTGATTTTTTCCATATATTGAGAATGTCATCATCCCAACTGACTTTCATATTTTTCAGAAGGGTTGAAACCACCAACCAGTATGTGTCAACATACATTTTGGGGCTGAGACTTTGGCTAGCCTTCAGTGACTGAACTCTCGGAGAGGGCGATGGGGAGAGATGTGTGTCAAGATATCCGTCAAGCTATGGAATAATTTTCTGGTTGGTGGTTTGGAACATGTTTTATTTTCCACAATATATGGGATAATCCTTCCCATTGACTAATATTTTTCAAGATGGTTGAAACCACCAACCAGATTTTCAAATGGTATAATTTAGTGATCTAATGGAATATTCATGGGATATGACTGGAATATGAATGGATTCTTGGTTGGTACCCTCCAGGAAACCTTAATTGGTCCAACATTCAATGGGAATTTCAGGAACCGATTTATTCGAGGTACCTACATATATACGGCCTATTTTTTAGGCCTAAATTTCAGGGAATATCCCCAGAAAATATGGCCAAAAAATATGGTACTAACGTACCTCTATTTTAGGATCCTGAAATTCCCATTGGTCCAACATGTCACTGAAAACCCCACCCTGCCACGATGTTTTTAACTCGTTCGCAAGTTCAACGTCCGAAAAACTTCGGGGGGCGAATCCCGCAACCATAGTTGGGATATTAATGGTTATTAATGGTTATCAATGGTTAATGTTGGTTAATGATGATTAATAGTGCTTATTAATGGTTAATGATGATTATTACTGGGTAAATTATAACAACCTCACTGTTCTCCCTCACTGGAATCATGGTTAGTAAGGGGAATCATCCCAAAATGGGCGAACTATTCAGGTTAGTGAAATATGATAATTTACCCAGATTTATACTTTGAGTATGGGGGTCCCCGAGCAGACTTTTGAACGGTTTTTTGTTCCTGAATGTTTCAAAACAAAATGCGCTCTCTTCTTGCCATTTTGACCTATTTGTGTTGTTTCGCTTTTGGGGCTTAAACAGAATTACAAACTTGGATAACTTGGGTTGATGATGAATATTCCGGCATATGCAATTCTATATATTTTTTTTTGGACATTCACCATATCTAAGTATCTCATTAATTGTTTGTCATGATTGACATCAATCAAAACCGATAGGCCACGTACCAGGAGTTTACCTTTGCCATGTTGCCAGGGGGTGACATCATCTTCTCAATCTCCAGATCCCCTCTGACATATCTGTGCAATTGGGTAAACCCAATAATTATAATCAAGAATCCCCAATACTTACCCCCTGGTAAACAAACATAGCTGTGCAACATCACCATGTTTTTATGGGTAAATCAACTATAAATGACAATTTTCAATAGCTATGTTAGTTTATAAATTGGGTGGTAGAAATCATCCCTACATGTCTATGTCTACATTGTTTTTCCACACAGCTCTGGCCTAACAGCTCTGGCTTCTGTACATGGCTGGGGGATCAACATTTCTGCTTCATACATCAATGGCCATGCAACAGGAACCGATTTATTGGAGGTACCTACCATATATAAGGCCTATTTTTTAGGCCTATGTAAGGGAACACCCTAGCAAAATATGGCCAAAAATATGGTACAGTACCTCCATTTTAGGATCCTGAAATTCCCATTGAATACAATTCTGATATCACCTTTCTGATTATGGTCAGTCCCGATGGGCGAGACGAACGCCTCTTGTTGCACATAACTAGGGTCCCTAGTTTTAAAGAGAAACGCCCAGCCAACTTAATACCATCCTCCAAGGCAAAATACCAGCCTCCTAGTGCCCTGCTATTGGATCTATTCATCTTTCCGCTTGGGGCATTGGGTCTATTTACAGTAATATTACGAGGATGGGAACGGTTTCAACCTGGGGAATTGGGATGTAAACAATGAACATATATGTAAACCATCGTAAGCCATGCCCTGGACCAGAAAAAATTCGACACGACCAAGCGACATAGAAAATTACCACCAGGATCACGACATTTCGATGGATCCACTAAGATCAGCAATTTCTTCTCGAGTTCGCCACTTTCCCATATCTAGTTGGTGGTTTGGAACGTGAATTTTATTTTCCATTTCATATATGGGATGTCATCCTTCCCATTGACTCATATTTTTCAGAGGGGTAGGTATACCACCAACCAGTATATTTTTCCTCAGCTGTTTTCCCATGCATACTAGTATGTATCATACTAGTACCACGATTATATATTTATATATTATATGGATGATTACTATAATAGGGTATGCATTTTTTTGATCCATATATTATAGTAATCATATACATACAATATTATATAGTCATAATCATCTATATCATGGTAATCCATATTATCCATACCCAAATGTTCCATGTATAGTATATTTACCTACACTTGGGTGATTTATGGGGTAAATGTTGGTAAATATTCCAGCACCATGGAGCATATGGGATATAATCTATACTAAAGACCCCACTGCGACCTCACTATAATCATAGTTAGTAAGGGGAATCATCCCCAAATGGCCGAACTATTCAGGTTAGTGAAATTTTATAATTTATAGTAATCATCTATATATTATATGGTCATAATCATCTATATCATTCATATTATCCATATAATCTAGACTATTATGGATTTTTTCCCACGATTTTGCATTTCTGCTTCGGGATTTCCCCAAAAAACCGCGCCGAGGCTCTCCCCGCGGGCGTCCGCTGCAGCGCGAGGAGACCGGGGACTTGGCGCAGCTCCACGCGACCAACCGCAGCCAGACGCCCGAGGAGCGGCCGCTGCGGCGGGAGGCCTGGCGTTTTTTGGGCGATTTTGGGGTTTTTGATGTGGGTTTTCTGTTGTTTTTCATTGGTTTAAGGGAAAATTTAGAGGAAAACCCTATATTTCATGGGAAAACCTATGGTTTTCTGTTCCCAGATGCTCCATGGTGCTGGAATATTTACCTATATTTGGGTGATGTTTGGGGTAAATGTAGGCAAATATTCCATACATGGAGCATATGGGGTTGTTTTTCTGTTGTTTTTTCCCACTACAAGTGGTGATTGTCGATAGTTATTTGATAGTTTACCAGAGGGATTTGATGTGTTTTTTTTTATATATGTTTTTGTTCCCCACCTGCCAGGTGAGGGTTGTTAGATTTTATGTCAGTTGCCTCCTCCTCCTCCTCCTTCTCCTCCTCCTCCTCGTCCTCCTCTCCTCCTCCTCGTCCTCCTCGTCGTCCTCGTCGTCCTCGTCGTCCTTGCTCAACTGCAACCCGCGATCCACAGTGTTCTCTGCCGGACCTCAACCACGACCATCCACGCCCAGTGTTCCCTGCCGGACCTCAACCACGACCATCCACGCACAGTGTTCCCTGCCGGACCTCAACCACGACCATCCCCGCCCAGTGTTCCCTGCCGGACCTCAACCACGACCATCCACGCCCAGTGTTCCCTGCCGGACCTCAACCGCGAGTATCCACGCCAAGTGTTCCCTGCCGGACCTCATGTAGGAAGGCGACTTCCAGATCGCAGTGGGCACTGCCGGACCTCAACGGGAAGAATGTCAGAAAAGATGTCAGATAGGATGTCAGAAGATATGCCAGATAGAATGCCAGATAGAATGCCAGATAGAATGCCAGAAGATATGTCAGATAGAATGCCAGAAGATATGCCAGATAGTATGCCAGAAGATATGCCAGATAAAGTGCCAGAAGATATGCCAGAACACATGCCAGAAGTTATGCCAGAAGATATGCCAGATAGAATGCCAGAAGATATGCCAGATAAAATGCCATGAGATATGCCAGATAGAATGCCAGATAGAATGCCAGAAGATATGCCAGATAGAATGCCAGAAGATATGCCAGAACATATGCCAGAAGATATGCCAGATAGAATGCCAGGTAGAATGCCAGAAGATATGCCAGATAGAATGCCAGAAGATATGATATGCCAGAACATATGCCAGATAGAATGCCAGAAGATATGCCAGAACATATGCCAGAAGATATGCCAGATAGAATGCCAGAAAGAATGCCAGAAGATATGCCAGATAGAATGCCAGAAGATATGCCAGAACATATGCCAGAAGATATGCCAGATAGAATGCCAGAAGATATGCCAGATAGAATGCCAGAAGATATGCCAGATAGTATGCCAGAAGATATGCCAGATAGAATGCCCGAACATATGCCAGATAGAATGCCAGAACACATGCCAGAAGTTATGCCAGATAGAATGCCAGACTGCATGCCAGAAGATATGTCAGATAGAATGCCAGAAGATTTGCCAGTAAGAAAATGTATAAATGTCATGGTGGGGATCACACGAAGTAAAGTAATTTTAATCAACGCAGTGCCGCGTTCGTGCCTGACCTCCCCCAGAGGTTTGAGATATAAATATTTATATATATATATATATTTGTGCGTTTTTTGTTTAAAAAAATGTTTTGTGTTTTTGTTGGATTCATCTATTGAACATTATTGACCCAACTGAGATGATCTGAGATGTGGGGGATTCAGAATGATAATAATGATATGGTTTGGAAATGATGTGGTTCAGATCACTCGTATTTAATATTGGTATGGCTGATGGGATATTAAATCGTAGATTAATATCTATCTATATATATGTATATATATGTGTGCATATATATATATATGTGTGTCTATATATATATAATATATATACATATATATATATATATTAGTATCATACTAGTATGCAACCATACCATATTACCTACTAGCCACCTGCCTTGTCCATGAGTGAATTGCTCAGGTCACCAGTCGATCGCTTCAGTCTGCCAGCACAGTGTCAGAGACTTGGAAGGCGTTTTTAAGATGTTTTACCCTCTGGTTATTTAACATAGCCATGGAAAATCCCTTATAAATGGAGGTTTTAATGGGAAAATCATCTATAAATTGGTTTTAATATGTTTTACCCTCTGGTGAACATACAAAAAGCTATGGAAAATGGCCATAGAAATAGTTGATTTACCTATTAAAAATGGTGATTTTCCATTACTATGTTAAATTACCAGAGGGTAATAGGTTTTTAACCATCTAGAATATGGGGATCTAGTTTAAAGTTTATGCATGACCCGGATCTGCTAAAGAATGTGTTTCTTCTTCGAACACATCCCATCGGCAAATCCACCATGTGGGGAATCTACTGGAATAAGTTTGTGTTTTCTTTTATAGCCCGCTTGTGCAAAACCATTTAGAGATCCTGATGTTGATACCCAATATCTTCGTTGACCTGAAGGAAGTGAAACTTTTTTGGGCAGTTGCCACATTGCTACTGGGCTTCCATAAGCCTTGGTTGTACTGGGCGGTTGTTCTTGGCGCCTTCAACACATCCCTTATCACCCCTTGCTACTGTCATTTACTTTTATATGGCAATTATTGTAGGGTTGAGCCCCAAAAGCAGCATTATAGCTACCCTTTTGGTTACTGCTTGAATTCCTTTCTCCGCATGTTTTTTGTTGGCTGGATACAATATGTATATACACATGCGCCTGCCTGCGAGATGATAGTCCCATTATCCAGTCCCACTTTCAGACGATCGATTTTCGCAAGCTGATTTCCCCACAGAATTACTGGTTGGTGGTTTGGAACCATGGAATTTTCCTGGTTAATCTATGGTTAATCTATGGTTAATAGTGGTTAATAATTGGAATAACAATATATCTGGTTGGTGGTTTGGAACATTTTATCGATTTGTCCATATATTGGGAATTTCATAACCCCAACTAACTGACTTTAACTCCATCATTTTTCAGAGGGGTAAGTTCAAACCGCCAACCAGCTTAAAAGGTTGAATCCCCATAGAATCCCTACAGAATCCCTATAGAATCCCTATAGATTACCATTCATAGATGTTCCCACACATGCATTTCCCAACGAAAATTCTGTGGTGAGACCACCTCAGATGTCCACCGATGTCGGAAAATCATTTTTCAGACTCAGGGGACCGATGTTGTGGTTTTTGGTAATTTTAGTATCAGCATCCATCGATTTTTAGGGACCCATATATATATATATATATAGTATATATAGTATATATATATATAGTATATATAGTATATATAGTATCAATAGTATCATTTTTCATATGTTTATTTCAAGGACCCATATAAGATTGTTGGTTGGTTATATGTTTAAATTTTCAGTATCAATTTGCAGATACCCAACTTTACCCCATAGCCATGTAGTGCCGAGTCGGGCCCAGGACAAGAGTATGGGCCTCATCACGCCGCGCTCGGAGGGAGATGAAACGCCACCGCCCACCATGTATGGATGCGCCCATGGTGGCTACCGGCAACGACGAAGCACCGTGAGCCACTAGGAGATGAGGAAAGCTATGGATAGGAGGTTCGCAGCTGATGTTTTTTCTGATGCTATAACTTTACAATACTAATCATCATTCATTATAAGTTTAAAATATAAAGGCTGGGAGTGTACAGGTAACATTCTAGAATATCATGACAGTCCAAATATGCTCTGGAGGTAGTCAAATGGGTACCACAACCAAGCAACATGCCGTCCGTGTACCATGGATTGGGGGTTGGGAGACAATTTTGTTCAACCTAAAATGTGTGATTAGTTTGGGTCTATTTGATTGAGGTGATGGTACAACTGGTTTCATAGAGCCACCCCGGGATGAAGAAAACCAATTGTTCCCTGATTTTTTTTTGGCGATGTTAAAGTCAATTAGGTGGTTTTTCACCCCCATGAGTGATGGCCCAAGGAGTAAAGCCGGTCTCTAAGTGGAAAGGTGGATTCAGCCTGCGCTGACCAAATGAAATGCTGCAGCCACTGACTCTTCCTTCCATCAATGACTGATTTATTGATCCATTCGGAGCCTTCATTCGGAGCATTCAGCTCCGAGAACCTTAGAGAGACCATGTTGATTTCGAAGGGGGACCCGGAGAGACCAGCGGAACATGGCCCTTTTTCAGAACAGCCATGGCCTATCTGAAGGGTCAAAAGACCTCATCAGTGGATGAGGTTTATGAAGAGTTCTTAGTCACCATAGGCCCCCCTTGGGGGCCCCCAAGGGGGGCCCCTAGGGGAAAGGATCTACGTTTCTGGTGGAAAAAACCTGGAGTATGTGGTTGGACAGTTCATCACCAAGCAGTATGAAGTACAGTTTTAATGTCATATGTCATCACGTTCTGTCTATCTATATATATATATATACATACACTTGAAACATCTTAGAGGCATTCTTGATCATTCATATTACAAATCACATGTCACCAAATGGATGTTTCCTAAAATTGGGGTACCCCTGTGTCAATAGGATTTTCCATTATAAACCAATCAGCTATTGGGGTACCCCATGTATGGAAACCTTCATATTCTTGATGTTTAAAACATGGTTTTGCTGTAAGGCGAATTTTTTCGTTGCGATGACCCGTCCGACTGTCGCTGGGAAACCCAGGTAGCGGTCAAAGGGAAGAAGTCGCGCTGCAAGTCATGGCCACGCAACTGGCAAATCTCCTGCAGGCGTGGACGGTGGATGTCCAAATGCTATCCAATGGTAGGTATCATAAACCCAGAATGGCTGTATCCTAGGCATAAGTTATATGTTTTTATATGTAGTTTGTTACTACCATCTAACCACAGTTGTAATAGATTAATAGCAAGTCTAATAAGGTAAACCCAATAATCTAGTTTATTAAGCAATAATCTATTATTATTGGGAATTGGGAATTGGGAATTGCTACTATTGTAATCTATTTACCCAATAATAATTCCCAATTCCCAATTTGGATTTATTGGGTATACCTCTATCTGGACCCCAAGCGGTGGGCTAGGTTTTAGGCATTGGGCTTACCGCCTTAACCATTTCAATCCATCAAACCAGGGTGATACACCATGCTTATGTGTCCACTAGTGATTTATCCAAAAACAAACTTGTTAGTTATAGTAAAGTATAGCATATACATTATATATATAATGTGTATATATATATAGAGTCATATACTCATATACTGAAAATATCCCCAGATCATGTCATTAACTCCCCATCATCTGAAAAAAACACGGCGATACGATCGGTCCCCCGGTCGTGGATTCGGCTCTTCGGTCCGAATTTACCAGGCCCAACAGCGATTGGCGTCCTCACTACCGGACTTGAGAAATGAAGATTTTCACAGGCGGGACATGGTGCGAAATGGGTTGAGCTGGTTATCCTTTGGCAAACTAAGATAGCTATGGAAAATGGATGAAAATTGCAGATTTAAAAATTTGATTTACCTATAACATGGTGATTTTCCAGTTCGCCAACTGCTAGTTTTTACCAGAGGTACAGAAGACCCCAGAGTTTTGCTGAAACATGGGAATTATAATGGAAGTATAGCAAATGGCCTGAGCTAAAGAATCTATTGGCAGCATGGTGGAGCCTAACCCATATGCTCCATGGTGCTGGAATATTTACCAACATTTGCCCGAACAAAATCACCCAGTCATGTAGGTAAATATACCATACATGGAGCATATGGGTAATTGAATTGATAAGTAGATAGTCCTTCATCGGAGTTTTCAAGTGGATAAGAAACTTGTGATGGCGAACAGATCTTCCGAATCATCGGTTCTTTGGGTGTAACAAACTGTCCATGAATGGCGTTGGTCCCATCTACAATTTGGGGTTTATCTATGTTTATCTCATGTAGGTGTCGCACCGGTTCTCCGACAAAAAACACATTATCTTCTGAACCGCTGGATGGTTTACGGCATAGGCTTTTCTGCAGAAGGCCAAGCCCAAAGCCATCGTTTTGACCTAGATGAATTCGGACGGTTTCCCCTAGACAGTGATGATTTGCTGCCACAAACAGTTTGACACCCTAGGGCTTCAGCAAAATCTGGGACTTCAACTGACATAGATGTGACAAATCACCATATTCATAGGCTAAGTATGGCTAATTCATCCATAAATTTGGGTCATGTTCATCCATTTTCCACATCTATGTTAGTTTACCCTATCCAGGTTCATTCATGTCTGGTTGGTGGTTTCCAACACGTTTTATTTTCCATAGTATATATTTTTCAAGATGGTTAAAACTATATAGACAATGTTTCATCCATTTTCCGGGTAATCTGGGGTTGACCTTGCCCTAAACTTCCTTGCGGGGCTCGTTGCGGGGCTCCCAGGCAACTCGTCGCAGCGTTGGAGCGCCGCGAGAGCGCCTCATCGGCGCGTAACTTTGGCAGATGTTGGGTTCAATGCGGAGTTCCATTAATGCATGATATAAATGTATTTGAATATTTATATAGATACAGATATATAGATACACACATATATATATATATACATACAAAAATAAATAAGTATATATATATATATAGGTATACATATATAATATATTATATATATACACACTTCTATATACATGTGGATGCGCACATCTTTGCACAGTCTGTTTTTAGCAGAGATGTGTGAAATATGGGTATATTTGCGAAATCCGTGCGCGTGTTTGTGCGCGTAAATGTTCATAAATAGGCGTATGTGTGTGTAGAAAGATTCAACATATTTCAGAACAATCCAACCATTTCGTTCTGGACTGTTTGGTGAGAATTTGTGTACATCATATTCCCTTCAAAACCCCACAACAAAAAAAAACAGGTGATTTCCCTTTTGAAAGATGGGAACCTGGAACCTTCCCACATGTCATGTGTCACTGGAGGGCAATTAGCTGATAGTCCGGCAGGAGTTGGTGCACATCGATCCACTATGGTAATCTGCTTGAAGGAAAGCATTGGTATTTTGTGTTGTGGCACATACCCTGTAAACATTAAAAAAACTATGAACAATCACAATTTTTAATGGGAAAACTCGCTATAAATGACAATTTTCAATAGTTATGTTGGTTTACCAGAGGGCACATTATCATAGTTAAATTGGTGTGGAAGTACATTAACTAGGGCCTGTGGTGCTGAAAACAATACATTTAAATCATTTCGATGGGGTTCTAAAGCAACTTTAGCGCCTAGGGGGCGCCACCTTGTGCCATTTGGTGGTGAACCCTGACTGTGAATTGGAGGGGGGTCCACCAAAATAGCGACACATGATTCCTAAAACCGGTACCCAGCCTATGAAAAACATCTTGGAATCTTGGGGTTATTAGTCATGGCATTCCATTAGCACCCAAAAAGAGTTGGAGGTGCCTCCAAGGGGCAACTTTCAGCCTGGAAACCCCCAAAATTGCATTCCAAGAGGGAACAGGACGGAAATTACCAGTTGGATTTGAGAGGTGCCCCATTGACAAACCACCTGAGTGGCTGGTTGAGCGTTAGTCAGGTTCTGGGTCTGAGCGTTCCAGTCGATTCGAGGCAGGGGTGGGAGATAGCCACAATCTTTGCAAACTAATGGTTGCTACTAGAGGATCTTGCAATCGCATCAGCTGCTTTTTTCGGGCGCTGCTTTGGAAGATCTTGGACCAGGTTTGGCCACTGAAATATGTCGGACAATGCTAATTGTGTCTCATTAGCCCTCTGTGCAAGTTCAAAACTCAGGCATCCGAGAAGTTGAGAGGAAACAGGATAGGCATGGATAGCAACAGATGGAAAAGACGTTAGGAAAAAGATAGTTGTCTTAGCTTTTGTTAGGATTTGTTTGGCTTTTGTCAGCCTGTTCGTTTTGTTGAGCTTTGTTGGATGTGGCCCGCTTTTGTTTCACAAGCTCGTGGTGATATTAGCAGCTGGAATCCAGCATCCCTCAGGAGCCAGAATTCAGAGCACTGTTTAGAGCAACACCTGGATGGTGAATGCATGAAAGTAGAAACGACATAGACGCCGCTGTCTAGCATCCCTTTTTGGCGGGATGGCTAATGCATATTGACGGTCAGAGTGGGTTGATGAAAAGCAATGAAAGATGGTTAATGAATATTGACTGTCAGAGTGGGTTGATGAAAAACAATGAAAGATGGTTAATGAATATTGACTGTCAGAGTGGGTTGATGATAAAAAATGAAAAATAAAATGACCCGAAAACTTGGATGATTGAACCTCTGTTTATCCTTTGACCAGTGTCCCCACCAGGCCACCCCTTGTCCTGAGACAGGCTGGGATCGTTTGCTGGGGGCCAGTTACACATTTTTTGCTGAGGGTGTAGCATTACCACATTGGCCCTTATGAAACACATAACCACTAGAGTCACTAGAAGTATTTGATGATATTTGGTGATTCATCCGACTTAACATGTAATGAGGCTGTAGACATGCTCGGGTAGTGACGTTAGGGCTTCTCCATCTTTAAATGGGCTGGTACCATCCACCGTGGCTTACACCAGGTCCTGAGTTTACTCTTTGGTAGTCAAGCATAGCAAAAACATAGCAATATGAGTAATGGAAAAGCCACCATGATCACCATGAATTTCCCATGAAACAACCTAAAAAAAACTGATGTTCTGTTAGAACATGTCAGAACATGTTGTTCACCGCTCTGTTTCTCAGAAATGGTTTTCCCAGGGCCTGAAGGGGAAATGTGCAGGACTCCCCTGTATCATATCCTCCAGATGTGCCTGCAGCCCGAGTCAGGAGCTGCCCTATGAGAAAACCGCCTTACGCCGTAGCCCAGGGGATCCCACATCTGGATAGGATGGGATAGGATCAATGCTTGGAGAAAATGTGATGAGTGGCTATGACCCATACTGGATTTCCTCTCCATCCTTGAGCAAATCCGAAAGGAGAAACTTTGCAGGAAAACCCTGTGGTAAAACAATGATGTCGAACATGTCCCTCGAATCCATTGAGTGGTGAGACTGCTGGGTGCAGATCGGCTTGCGCAACTTGGGTTCAGCGTGACTGTCTCTGTTGGCAGTTGTGATCAGGATGACGGGAGGTTGTAGCATTAGTGTAGCTTCAATTTTCGATTTCAAATTTGTGATTTCAGACTGCTGAATTTTGATGTGTTTTTCCTGACATCTTGAAGCCTAGATGGCTTGCAAATTTTAACTTGAGACCTCCATTGGAGACGAATTTTGAGAACTAAAAAATTGGGCCTAAATCCGTGAAAATCGTCCTTTTCCGCATGCAATGGGTCACATCTGGTGATATTTGGGTGGATTTCGGGGGGTACACCTGCAGCAACTCCCCATGTTCAGACCAACCCAAACCTGCATCACCCGCTTGTTGCACGGGTTCGTTGCTGGTCACCAGTAGCACTGGTAAGCACCAGCGGGATGATTCGGTGAGATTATATCTGGTTGGTGGTTTGGAACGTTTTTATGTTTCCATTCAGTTGGGAATAATCATCCCAACTGACTTTCATATTTTCAGAGGGGTTGAAACCACCAACCAGATATATAATTATCTAATATTATTCATGTTCTTGGGATGGCTCAAAGCCACCAACCAGAATTTCATCATTTATATAGATATCAATGAAATTAAACATCATATTGATTGTTTAGCCATGGATATCCAAAACGACCACATTCTACACTCAGCAATCCAAGCAGCTCAATGATTTTCGAGCATGAAAGATTAGCCATAGATAGGGCAAGTCCAGCAATGACCAGACCTATCTGTTTGCTGCGTGTGGGGCCCGTGGCCGCCACAAGCAGTGTGCGCTCTTCGATCTGAACTTTTAGAGATGCACAGAGTCCCGCCATCGCGTGTGGCTGGCCTAGCAAAACTCCCAGCGATCCTGGGATTCGTCGGGATTTGCGCGCAGCAGCAAGTATACCATCAGACATGAAGCACCTGTAAATGATCCGCTTCAGGGGGTTCAACAGATTTCAACAGTGTTCAACAATAAGTGCTCGAATGAGTGATCAATAGATAGACGGAGAGAAATACAGTATCTTCACACATGCACATGTATATATAAATATATATATATATATGTATATAGTATATACACAGTATATACAGTATATACAGTATATACATGCGTGTGAGCGTGCGATAGATTCTATAAAGGTATATAGGATTTCTTGGATGCCTCTTTCACTCGGCAAATCCGAATTTGGACCTCTCAGTCGGAGGGGCTGGAAGACAGGGGGTCGTTCAATCCTGGGGGCAAATGTGGCACCTCTTTATAGGAATTACCAACTGAAAGCATCCATGTTATAGGTGAGCCCGAAATTTTTGGCTACCTTTTTGTAGGGGAATCATGAGGAATCCTAAAAATCATGAAATGTATGTTTTAGTGGGAGAAACCATTAATAAATTGAGAATCGTTCATTTCCATGATTGACCATCTGAGGGTATACTCTTGACATGGCAATTTTAATGGATAAAATTGATAAAATCATCAATACCCGGTGGATTAAAGTGTACACTATTTTCATACCCAAACGCACAAGACATCTTGGCATAATCTTCGGTAAGAATTGGATCACCAAGATGCGTCGAAATGCTTCGAATGCTTCGATTTTCGATCAGCTGAGCTCCGTGAAATCACCAAAGCGGTGCCGGTTTGGCGATTTCACATATATATCTAGGCTAGGTGTTATTCCTGCCTGTTATATGATGTTTTTATGATGTTTAAATAATGTTTATATAATGTTTATATAATGTTTACTGTATATAAGTGTATCATATCCAAGGTCTATGAGTCCAAAGAAAAACGGCACTAATCACATCCATCCCATATAAATCCATGCCACCACCCTTTACATGCACCCCAAAATAAAGACATCCACGAAGCAACCACAGGTTTTCAAACGTGTTCGATGATCATTGTTCCTTCTCATCGCTTGGTCCCGTCATCCAGCCCCGTGCTGTTTCTGACGTTGCTCTGCCTGGTGCGGAAAAGACGGCCCACAGCTTGCAAACTTGAAAGCATCAGCATTTCTAATAGGTAAATGGATGTAAATGGGCCATGGCTGGCCATGGCTTCCATAGCTATCTTCAATTACCAGAGGGATAGAGGGTATGTTCGGTTTTTGGACATCATACACCGATGTGAATCCCATGTCTTATCCCTGACTGCGTGTGATTTCTCCCTATGGATCCAGGTATTTCCCTGAAAGGGGACTTGGCTACCCAATTTCATCCAATTTCCGCAGCGCCGGATCCATGGGGTCTGAACATACCGTATCTCTTGAATAAAACTGATTCAGAATGGTTGCGACTTAGCCAGAAATGACCAACTTCGCCAATTGTAACCAGCAAAACTTCTTTGCGAAAAAAGCTCATCATTCATCTACCCAAAAAGTGGATTATCTAGCCATATCTAGCCATACTCGTATCTAGCCATATCTAGCCATATCTAGCCATATCTACTAGATGATCCGAGTCCCCAATGATATCTGGAGCCAGGCCCGCAGCGGTGGAGCAACCCGAGGTGCGAACGGTGTGGAGATGGATCAGAAAGGTGAGATATCTTGATCATATTGATTCTATAACCATCTATAATATATATATATAACTAACTATATATAACATATATAACATATATATTTATATAGATTGCAAAACATAAAACCACATCAATAAATGTCCTGACTACACAAATGAAAGTGGATGACTGAGTATAGTTTCGATTCATGAATGAAGCAACGTCCAGGGATGAATTTTCATTCATTGCCAATTTTAAATTCAAGAGATGCATGGACCAGACAAAAATAAATGAAGAGATGAACATGTTGAGAACATGGACGATGCCTTTGGCGCTGCAAATCTGAGGCGCCAAAGATTGCCGCGCCCAGCTCGACACGGTGACTTGTGGCGGGGATGAGTAAGCCAGAGTTCATCAAGATCAGACCAAAACTTCGAGAAAAACTCCCCCCCAAAAAAAACAAAGATTTGGCACCTAGTCCAGAGGTCAGAGTAGTTGTGGAAACATTGTTTTTTCTTTGTTGTTTTGTTTTTGTTGGCTTTAGATTAATCATGAATAATTCGGATTAATCTTAGTGGCAGCGAGACGGACCAGAGTGTTGCAGTGCCAGACACATACTTTTGCGAAGAGACGTGCTATAGCTGCTATAGAATAGCCTACATTCAGCACGGTCTGTTGTGAACGTGGATTTCTTCAGCGATTTTCTCAAAAACTTGATCGAGGTTTTCCCCCATCTTAGGCCGAAACCCACCGCTCAAAAAAACAGGCCTTTCCGAAAAATGGTGGTTTAAACATGTTTAAACTACAGGATGTGGCAAAAGGACCTAAAATCAGTGGCTGCAAGCAGGACAAGAGCTGCCACGGCCAGGTCGACCACGGTCTCGCCGCCGTCCAGGAGTCCCGCAGAGACCATGGAGACGGTGCCGGGCCCGGGTCCGGAAGCGGCTTCGGAGGCAGGGGAACCGTGAGAAAAATGGGGGATAGAATGGTGACAGTGGAGGTCTATGGGAAAATCGACGGGTTTTGAATTGTAACTTTTAAGCCTGGATTTGCTGGAGTTGGTGAAGAATTCACTAGGTTAACTAAAGTTTATGGGGGATATAGCGCGCTAGTTTATGGCATAATGGGGTTATAAACCAACTTACCTGGATTTTGATGAGTCTATGATTTGCTGATGGAAAAGGCCCGAAGTAAATGGAGCTTTATAGCTGGGAAAATCATGGGAAAATCCTTTTGATAATGCGGATATCACGAACTAGTTAACGGAGATTAGTAATTGACTTATGACAGCTAAGTTTCTTTTACAACTTGGTTAACAATGGTTAACGAATCTTAACTAAGGATGTTAACTAAGGTTTACTGGGGACATCACGAACTAGTTGATTGGGACCTAAGTAGTGTGTACATGCATAGTAGATCATAATAGTAGGATGGTTCACTCGGTTGACTAAGGATTATGGATGTTTTTGTTTTTTTAAATATATGGCGAACTAGTCGATTGGGTTCCAAGCCAACTTACCTGGATTGGCTGAGTCGATGATCTGTTGTTTTCCCAATGGATCCAGGAATTTCTTGGGAATATTACCTGAGAATCATGAAACAGGCGGTTGGAAAGCGGTGACATTTCACGGTGATATCGTAGTGATACAACGACATATTCATGGGGTCATTTTGGTCATATGGGGAAGTAATGTCAAGTTCTATTACTAGTTCACCCGCAAAAATCATGGTATCATGATGGTGATATTCTGCGATATGATGGGATATACTGGAATATTTATGCTGGTATCTCAACTATATTGCTGGAATGATTGGCATGTTGGGATATTATCCTCTGGTAAATTAACATAACTATGGAAAATAACCATTGTTAATGGGTAAATCACCTACTTCAATGGCCATTTCCAATAGCAAACTGTAACAAATTGCCAGAGGGTAGATGCCATTAAGTGGTTTATAATCCCATTACATCCCATTATATATCTTATTCAATGGCTATGTAACAAACTACCAGAGGGTAACCATAAAATCATATTTATGCTGGTATCTCGACTATAATGTAGGCTGCCTAATAGTAAATCCCCCCCCTAAATATATATTTTGGTTTTTTAAATTTAGGGGGGGGTCAGCATTCCAATAGTAATTTTTTGGAACCTTATGGCTGGGATGGAGGCGAAGGAGGAGGACGAGGAGGAGGAGAAGAAGGAGAAGAAGGAGAAGGAGAAGGAGAAGGAGAAGGAGGACAACAAAATTGGAGTTGCGGAAAAAAGTTTCCACTATTGCCATGCCTGGTGCAGGTTTGTTATTGCTATTCTGGGGCTTGCAAAGGGGGTACCCTTTGTGGACCTGTTTTCTTGTTTTTTTTAAATCAGGGTTTTATAATAAGGAAATCAGCTGTTTGGTAATTGGATCAGATTTCTGGAATCTAAGCTTTTGCTAATCAAAAGTGAAGGCTGCTTTGAAAAGGATTTGCTTTACTTGACTCTTTTGGCAATACTAAAAGTAAATTGAGCTAATTGACTTTTAGTATTGGAGAAAAAATTGGAGTTGGGAAAAAAGTTTCCACTATTGCCATGTTGGGTCCACTATTGGCCATGCCCTCTGGACAAGGTCTGAACATGACTCTTTTGGCAATACTAAAAGTAAATGGAGCTAATTGACTTTTAGTATTGGAGAAAAATTGGAGTTGCGGAAAAATGTTTCTACTATTGACAAGATATCACTATTGGCTGGACAACATTATTGGAATGTATGTTGGGATATTTTCTGGGATATTACGCTCTGGTAATTTAACATAGCTATGGGAAATTGCCGCATGCATAGTTGATTTACCTATTTAAAATTGTGATTTTCTATAGCTATGGAGCAAATTACCAGAGGATATCTCCCATTAAGTGGATGATAGTGGATTAAAATCCCATTAGATTCCATTAAAATCCCATTAAAATCCTATTTTTATTCCAGTAACATATGGTTTCTCTGTGGTTTCGCTGAAATCTGACCAGCTCACCGAGCCGCGTTTCACAGGCGGCTTCAGAACCTCGCAGCCGAGCGGGGCAAGCGGGCCAAGAGGGCCAAGCGGGCGAGGGCCAAACCGTTGCCATGGAGGTGGGCGTCACCCAGTTTGTACCCTCTGGTAAACTAACATAACTATGGAAAATCATAGAAAATCTTCATTTTTAATGGGTAAATCAACTATACATGGCAATCTTCAATAGCTACGTTAAATTACCAAACGGTACTGATCATCTCCTTGATTTACCCTCTATTAAACATACAAAAAACTATTGAACATGGCCCATTTATAGTGAGTTTTCCCATAACAAATGGTGATTTTCCATAGTTATGTTAGTTTACCAGAGGGTATATATTATGTAACATATATATATATATATACACCAGACAATTTCACAGAAAACATTGAATGAACGAACCAACTCTTGCGAAAGTTCCTTATATATGTGGATTTTTTTGACATTTGTCATATGTCATGTCAGTTTATCCAATAAAGAAGACACGGATGATATCAAACATTTGCGTGAGCGTGTGTGTACGTACATATATCCTCCGTTTGTACGCATAAAAATGTTGTTTTACCCAGAACTGCAGTACTTTGACAATTTTTTGTCGGTATTTGTAGGGTCTAGGTACAGAAATCTATGCAGATGTAAATACGGTGAATTATAACGACCTCACTGCGATGTCACTGGAATTATGGTTAGTAGGGATAACTCCCCAAATATATCCAAATATAGCATTGCGTCAGGTTTGTGAGTTACTATCATTTGCCCAGAAATGTATACTATAAATTATTTACCCACATCTACCCTATAAATATTAACATATATAACATATTACGAAGATCTACAATTTTAGTTTACTAAAATATTGCACTAAATATTTGTAGTAAATTATATATATATGTATGTTTTAATCGATGTTATTATTATCATTATTACTACTACTTTAATTTCACACAAAAAAGAACACACAATCAACATACTTTGCATGTGCAATTGTCGGGCATTTCTCTCGCTTATAGGAAGTCCGATCGCCTGCAGCTCCGGCGTCAGAAAGCCCTGCAGGCCCCATCAATTGGATCGCGGCGGGATCCAATGATTTTCATGAGAGAAATGGTGGCTTTAATAGGAAAACAATAGGAAAATATGGGAAAATTCACTCAACAATCTATAGATATATATATATATCTCTTTTTCTATAGTATGCAAATGAGGTCTTAGTACAGTATTACTGTAATATATTGGAAAATCAGCAATGCCGAAGATTTTTCCGGATAAATTACATCGCCGGCAATGAGGACGCCCGACGGTGAGTCGGACCTTGAGTCAGACCACAGTTGCGCGGATGGTTCATGGCCATAAGATGCCATAGGTATAGGGTTACATCTATTTTTTTTTGGGGGTGTACACTCTGGTAATATGTTACATAGCTATTGAAAATTGTGATTTATAGTTGATTAGTACCTATTAAAACGGTTGATTTTCCATAGCAAACTGTTAGTTTACCAGAGGGTAACCATGGTAGTAGCTTTCAATATACATCCAAAAACTGCACCCCGAGCAATAGCCTCATCCACCACACTAGGCTGCAGGACAATTCCACATGTGAAATTCAGATTCTGGAAAGTGGAGAACATTCCAAAATGGGGAAGTGAGTTCAATTTGACCAGTATTGTCTGATCTTGGGTTATCATGCTGAATCTCATTGAAGTTCATGAACATCTGCACGTTAGATCTCCACAAGGAGAACAGGTCCCGTCCCTACCAGGTCCGATCCCTCTCCATAAATCTACCAACGAACCGAGGATACTGTGGGTTGAATACTCCATCCTTTGTTAGTTAATGTGGGATTCACCTCATATCCATAAACCATCTCAAATATGAGAATAAACGGCTTGTACTATATAATTTATTTAAATCATCCACAGATAGTAGGTTTGTTCATATTAAACCATCACCATCATAGAGGTATATGAAAGTGGTTATGCCCCTAGAAATGGAATGATGTCTATTACGACCTAGTGATAGTTGGTTAATGATGGCATAATTTCCAACATTGGGTTTTCCAGATGATATCCTCACTAAAGGGGTGAAGTTAATCGACACACCATAATAAACCATAACACATCCCAAATATGACACATTAGGCTTCATGTTTGGGGCTTACTTGTATCTACAATCGTTCGATCTGTATATGACCACACATGATAAAGTGTCTTTATTTTTTTGTTTGAAACTTTATGTGGTACAGTACCTCCAGTTTAGTTCCCTGAAATGGCCATTGAAAACAGTCGGGCTCATAAACCAGAGTTATAGGCATCAACTACATCATCCCTCAAGAGTAGAACTATGGAGAATGTCTATTAAAAAATAAAACTAGTTTCTAGGCTATTCACATCAACATTTTTAGTAGTGACTATACTCTCTCTTATTTTTGTATAGATGACTAGTATTTGTTGATGTGAATAGCCTACTACAGTTATAACTATAATAGTTATACTATAGTTATATACTTGGTAGTGACTATAACTCGTTTTTTGGCGCAGATCCCACATCAACCGCATCCCTTCCGTTCGCTCCGTTCTCCAGATCCCAGAACACGATCTCCGTTCGCGGTGTGCCAGGCGGAATTTTCTACGGGGATCTCATGAGAGTTTTTTCGGATGATCGTCCACTGACTTTCTAGGACAATCTTGGATGGCTAGTTTCATCCTTTAGTCTCTTGGTATCAATGGGATTATCAATGGGATTAGAATACCATCTAAAATTATCAATGGACAATCTTAGATGGGCATTACCACGAAGTGGCTTAGCGAGCCTTTCGTTTGGATGGAGGGTAGAAGTAAGTAAGCTTGAAACATCTTATGGAACAAATGCTCATCTGGTTGGTGGTGACTGGAACCATGGAATTTTGATTGACTCTACATGAAGAGTTGGGAATGTCATCATACCAACTGACGAACTCCATCATTTTTCAGAGGGGTAGGTATGCCACCAACCAGATGGGTACTTTAATCCTTTAGTCTTTTGGTATCATTGGGATTATCTACGTTCACCAGCTAAGAATTTGTCATTTTTTGCAGGGTGTCTAAGATTGGCACTGTTCATGTCAAATATCATCCCCAACCAAGTGGACGGATAGTTTAATCCTTTAGATAGAATTGTATGTAAGTATAAGGGGATCCTGGGAAACAATTGGGACATAGCGAGGAAATTATGAAATAGTTGAATTTCCATAGAAGTTTGGTGAAATAGGGGATGAAACATGTAGGTAGTTATGGATCTTATGGCATGATTTGTGGAATTCTGGGAAATCAGGGACATGATTATAGGTGTCCTATTTTATTCCAATAGTTTGAGGGGAAATCTGGGCATTTTTTTGGGGAATTGCCACGAGATATGATGGATCCGAGGAATGAAATGGAACTGCAATCGTGGGACCCATCCACTTTGAATTCGAGTCTGACTGGAAAAATGGGTTTCCCAAGACTTTTGAGAACCCGTGGATGATTCATACCACTACTATCCAAGCCTGGGGATGTTGGCTCGAACGGCCTGGAGAACGTTGGAGAGAATCGCCATAAATTGGGATAAGCCTTATTTGTAGGTGGATAATCCCTAGTCAGCTTATTTTTTGTAGTTGGTGTTCGAAAGTGGATTCGAGAATATGACATCTACCGTTTGAAGCATAATTATCCAAAGTTAACATAGTTAATTATGGTATTATGGTTACCAACTATCTAAATTTGTTAACTTTGATAATTATGGTTATAACCAATAATATGTTGATTACCATAAACTAACAAAGTTATTTCAACAAATTTTAACCCTCCATCGGCATCCGTATGTTTACCAGACACGCAAGGGGGCCCTGTCCAACAGCAGGTACTGACTCCACCACAGGAGACCTTGAGGCAAGTGAAGTTGCTGTGGCGCCCTAAGACAGGTTTCTCATACGGGGAGGGTGATAAATCATTTCATGATCATCATATTAAAATCTCATGATCATCATATTAAAATCCCATTATCATCATATTAAAATCCCATTATAATCCGATTAAATCCCATTATAATGCCATTTATGATTGATGGCAAATTTCATGGGATCATAACGGGATTTTGGGAAGAGTTACCCACTGGTGTCATCATTTCCATCTGGGAAATATTGGAAAATCCTCGAGGAATATTAGCGGCCTTGAATTCAATAGGCAATTTATGTTGATGGGCAGACTTCTGTCCATGGAAGCACTGTTCGAACATGTGTGCCCTAGCAGCCTTTCCCATTTTTTTTGTGGGATTGTTGTGTTTTTTTGTTGGAGTTTTATTGTGTTTGATTCTGGCCGGCCATGTTTTTTTATATATGCTTTTTGGTGTGTGGATTTTTTGTTGGAATTGTTACGGTGTTTGCTTCCGGTTGGCTTTTTTCGGGTCCGTTCCTGGCTGGCCCATGTTTGAGATTTTATGTGATGTGTTTATTGCATTTTGTTGGTTTTTGTGTGATTGTTTGGAATTTGTGGGATTATTGTGGTGTTTGCTTCTGGTTTGCCCAAAACAACAGCTTCTGAATGCATTTTTTAATATCCAAAGATAACTACTTAAATTGGTGTTGCTGCCATTTTGTATTTGATGGATTGATTTGTTTTAGGATTACTTAGATGTGTAGGTAATGTGTTGTTGACAGCAAAACCAGCAGCTATTTGAGCTTGGGATTTAATCGGACCGGTATTTCCAAGGATTTCCAGTTTTTTTTGCTAGGAAATTATAGCTGGTTGGTGGTTTGGAACATGACTTTTGTTTTTCCATTTATTGGGAATTTCATAATCATAACTGACGAGCTCATATTTTTCAGAGGGGCTGAAACCACCAACCAGATAGTCAAACTCAGGGTTTTAATGTGAATAATGTTGGATTCTTTTGGAACCACCCGGGAAATACCTCCAAGAAGCTATGGGCTCAAAGCCGGCCTAGGCTCGCCCCAGTGGGCTCTGAAGCTCTACAGCCCAGTGCCCTGCGGAAGTTGTTGCGACAACCGGGGCAGCTGGGCAGAACATGTGGCAGCTGCTGCAGCCGCGGCAGCTTTTCCAACCACGAAAAAAACTGGTTTTTATCAGGAAAACAGGGGATGACACCAATAATTCTTTGATTCCAGCTAGAATCAGTTTTGGGATTCGATGGTGATTTTTGACGCAGAACAACATGTGGTATAATTAATCGGAATATCATGGGGATCTATTTCGATATAGTGATTTAATTGGATGTTGGTACCCCAGCTGGTTTGCCAAGTTGGTTGCTATGTCGAGTGTGAGTTATAGTTTATCTGATTGGTGGTTTGGAACATGTTTTATTTTTCCACATATATATATATTATATTGGGAAAATCATCCCAACTGACTAATATTTTTCAGAGGGGTAGGTATACCTAGGGATCTCGGTTCAAGCTCCCCTCGAACCGTCAACCTAGTGGGTATCGCGGTGTTTTACCCACGGGTCTTCTTTTTGACCTTGGCCATTTACCTCGTTGATCTTTGCTGCCCTGATTTTGCATTCACTGTAGTTTACTCTACTGACTGCGTTTCAGGTGCCGTGTGCCATCAATCTTTCAGGAACCTGCATTACAGTTTGGATTTCAACTGCACTTGCTCTTCGCTGAATTTTTGGTCTGGAGTCCCAGCTCCTTAAACCTGGGTTTTCGGTGCACATTGCAAACATCAATTTTCTGGTTCTGCGCTGGCCTTACAGCGGGTGATTACAACAATTTTCTTTGGGTAATCCTGGAAACTTTTTTGTGCCTTCACCTCTGTGAACTGGTTCTGCGCTGGCCGTACAGCGGTTTTTGATTTCACTTTTCATTGGAGGTGAGCTCCCCGTACAATCTGCCTGGCTCTGTTTGTCCGTGAATGATTTTCGTGCTACACTTCATTGCTGCAATTCAGATCGTTTTCACCTTGCTGACCAACCACGTGCAAAGACATCCGATAATTTTGTGTGAAGCTGACAGCGACCACGGCAACGCCTTCTCAGCGGCGTTCCCATCGACGTGGACGAGCCAACGCAAGGCTCCTCTGGCACTTACACAAAAAGAGGATTCAGGTTCTTCCCAAGTGGAAACTGCTACAGTTGGTGAGCAAGATCCAAGGTCACCACTCCAAGGATACAGCCTTCATCCATCGCATCCACAGAGAGATCATGACAGACGCAGACGGTCCCTGGCGATGCCAAACATGCAAAAAGATTTGCAGTGCAACGCATCAATTCTGCGGCGTGTGTGGGATTTCATGGCATCTTTGTGCCGACCCATCCTACCAGCCACCGCAGAGGCAGACCAAAGCGCAACGCTCAGTCCAATGGAACTATGCAAATCCATGGACCGACCAAGACTGGGAGGATCCTCAATGGGATCCACAGCAATCCGATCACTCTCAATGGACAGCGTCCCCAAGAAGGCGTACCTCGTCGAGAAGACGGCCATCAAAGAAAGCGACCAAAAAAGTTGCAGAGACACCCAAAGGAGCAAAGGGCAAAGGCAAGAATGCAAGCGTAGACCAAGACAGAATGGGTCCGCCCCCATTGCCTACCAACCCGGTGGATCCGCCATGGCTGCAATCGATGAGTTCCATTGCCGCGACTATGCCACCTCCGATACAGCAAAATGCGGAGGACAAACAGTTGAAGAGCCTCATGGCAGTTTTGAAAAAGCACAGCGACACGCTGCCACCGGAAGTTCAGAACATGGTGAACGAAGCTGCAATCAAAGAAGGACAGCAACAGACCAAGCAACTCCACGCTGTGGTAGCAGCCCATGGGAGAGCTCGCAAAGAGCTGCAACAAGCTCAATTGGCACGCTTCCAGCTTCACAACGCTTGGAGGGGATTTCTCAGCCAAGCTGTCACTCAGTGGCAGGGCTACAGTGCACAATTCCTGGAACAAGAAAAACAGATGAACGAGCGTGTCAATACAGCAATGGAAGCTTTGAACCAAGCAAAAGAAAGTCTGGCCAAAGCCAAGTCCACAGCTGGAGTCGAAGCCAAAGAAGACACCATGGCCATCAGCGACGAAGAGCCGGACAAGGAGATCGCAGGCTCAACAGCCGATCGTATCCAAGAAGGCCTCACCAATTTGCAGTCCAGCCTCGAGGCGCTACAGTCCTCAGCCGAGCAGATGGTAGAGGACGAACAAAAGGCCCTCAAGAGACCACGCCTAGACACGGGTCAACTGGACTCAGCAAAGCCGTCCGAGTTGCCTGGTGCTGCATCGGGTTTTGGTTAGGCCGAGTGAATACAGATCAGGTTTCTATTGCTCCATGGCCCTTTATCCATGCAACCGCAGTTCACCATCTTGTTCCCAAATGGACACACACTGTTCTACATGAACGCAGTTTTGTTTCAGAGTGGCAAGCACAAGACGTAGCGTTTCACTTGGCACACGAAGTGAGCATTTTGCCGTTCCAGTGCCATTCAGTTTTGTCCGAACCATCGTCACCTGCAGGTGTCATGTCGACTCGGTTTCACCCAATTTTGTCGTGCAAAGGTTCAGCCGCTCCATCCCTAGGTGATGATACCCCCAAGAAAGCCGCACTAAAGAAAGGTGTTACTTTTTCCGATGTCCTCTGCGTTAGGATAGGCGAAGACACTTCCTTTGCATTCCAGGACGTTTGGACTCATGTTGATGCCTTACTTTCAGTTTTGAAACCATGGACTCTGGACGCCCAGCAGGACCTGACTGGACCAACCGACTATGGCACAGCCCGTAAGACCATTGTCCCAGGCAACAGGCTGCACCCAATCCTCAGGCAATTTGAACCTGACCGGAGGAACATGCCTGTTTCCAATCCGTCCCATGAGCATCCGATGCATCCGACAAACCCCAATGTACAGATGCTGCAGCAGCCGATACGTTCCTCCGTTTGTACAGAGATGCCGTTCATATCCATGCAAACCATTGATCCTGTTGTCCACCAGCATGATGCCCAGCTTGCTTTTAGTGACCCGTTGCTTTGCAACCGAGGCACCAAGCCAACAGCCGTTCGTCCCTTCCACATGTCATTGCTCAGTGACATCCAGATGTCATTGCGTACCTTGGATACTCACCCCATAGTAGCCAGCAAAGCAACACGACATGTGCCCGCAATGGGAAGAGACACAACAATCCAGCCAAAGGGGATTGACAATGCCATGGTTGCACATACTGAAAGCTCCCAGCCATCTTTTGTCAAAGTCAGGCGTGAGCATGAAAGCCCGATTGCCCATCTGGTTGGACCACAGCAGGATGGAGATGATACTGAGGATGAACAGATGGATGAGCATGATCACCCAGTGTTGCCCGCCTTTGTCAACTACTTAACCAACAGGTTAGAAGGACTAGGGCTCAATCCACATGACAATGACTTTGACCTTGCTGTGCGCACATGGTACATTGATCATCGCACCATCCACCGATGGACCGCACCTCGAATACTGCAACTGGTGGGACCCCCAAGGGGATGGGAAGCACAAATTCAATCCTTGTCGGTAGACCAACTCAACAATGATGACTGGTTTGATGCAATCATCGTGGAGCCTGATCCCCCAAGGCTTGCAAGACATGCGCTTGTAGTATACGACATGATCGTCACGCAGTCTTTAGACATGCCACGTGTTGCTTCCATGGTCACCGTCCTGCCAGGCCGAGCAGATACCTTCCAGATGTATTCAGTGGCCTGTTCATTGCCTGAAGTGGTCAGTGGATATGAATTGGTCCAGGCAGCCGACGCAGGAAGACACTGTAGACATGCGGAATGCCTCATCACATACAGGTGGATTCAAATCCCCAACACGCTACGTCCAACGCACCAAGTTGGTCATGGTGATGGGTTTCAGATTGTAGTCCATGATCAGGAGCGCATACCACTGTCAAGGCATGCAGATGACGCCAGTTCGTCAGAGGCCATCACTACCAGTCCAACATACTCTCCTGGAAGACATGCACAGGCAGCATCCAGCAATCAGCCAGCCCGTTTCACAACAATGCTGCACCTATTCCAGCTTGAAGGAATTGAAGTATGTTGCCAAGTCCTCAATGACCAACGTGTCTTGCCGACTCAGGAAATTGCGGATGCACTGCACATACCCCTAGATTGCCTGGAAGCTATCCACGTCATGCCACACACGCCTTTCCAAATGCCAGAGTATGACATGGTGGCTGTAGTCCAACGCACTGGAGACCTAGCGCCCAACACCATGGACAGGCTCATGCTTGTGGATATCGTATACCACCATCATCCAGACTCGGAAGGTGTGACTCACAGACCCACTCTTGTGCGAGAAGTTCAACGTGTTGGTCATCAAATTTTGCGCCAGCAAATCCTTCTTGCTGCAGCCGTGCATCACTATTGCATCCTAGTGACCACGCAATGTGCTGTAACATTTGATGGTGTCTTGTGGCCAGAGCATGAGCACAGCCCAAGACCGGTGCACCATGGTTCCTATGCCCAGGTCATTGTGCCACCACCACCCACGCATGACATTCCCACCCAAATGGCTGTGGAAGTCACTCACCAAACGGCCGAAAATGCTGATGCACAAGCTGACCTGCTGGGCCCATCTAGTGCTGATGATGACATTGCAAATGCAATAGACGCAGACGATGTCGACTCTGATGATGTTCAGCTGACACAAGTTGCTGCACAACACCGCAATGTTGCATCATTCCAAACACGCTTGCCTGCAGATGCCGATCAGCTTCCAAAACACAAACCAGCAGGGAAACAAACCCTCCCTGCACGGATAGCAGATGATCTGCCACCAAAGGCCAGGCCCCTACAAGTTGAAGGCTCAACACAGTGCGTGGGTCAGACATTGACGTCAACTTCGCCCAAAACTGCGAACACTGTGGCACTTGAAGAAATGCCCACAGATGATGTCCGACCCATTCAAGCTCAGCCATCCCTAGGTGACCCAGTAGCCAAGCCATGTACAGAAAAACGCCCAAAACAGCTCACCATCACGAGCTTTTTCAAAGCGCCACAGGGAAGGAAGGTTCAAACGGAAGCCAAGAAGCAGACAACCATTGGACAGTTCTTCAAGGTTAAACCCAACCGTGACCTTCCAGAACAGCAGAGCTGCCTCGATGTGTTGCCTTCTGCATCCGACCCACTTGGGCAGGAATCAGTTGTAGTCCCAATACATGATCCAGTAGCACATGCTCAGGCAGTGCAAGCCCGCACAGGCTATCACCATGAAGCTGAACCCCCCACATTTGAAGCGAGGGTTCCAGCTCAACCTGCCAACCCTGAAGCGCCGCCTCCACGCCCCATTTGGCATATAGAGTTGAACATCATCTTCCTTGAGGAAGCCATCACACACAGACGTGAGGTCGGACCCGAAATGCCTGTGGAAGTATGGTATGTTCATCACGCTGACATGCCCATATGCCGACACCCCCGCTTGATCCGATTGGACGACATCCGTGATTTGTGGTACGCAGACCTATGCAATGCATGGTTTGACCAACTCCGCAGACACCAGCCGGTAAGGGTCCACATCGTCAAGCCGACACCGCCATATCAAATGAGACGTCAAGCAGTGATCCACATCATCCTGGAACAAGGGATGACTCCAGAGAAAGCCGCCATTCTGCTCACCGTTGCCTTCCATGGAGGTACCAGAATGGGCCTCATGCAGCAAGCAGAATCATCCCCAGTGGACACCTGCACAGAGCGTGTCATTCAAGACCATGGCCTGCAGCCTCAATGTGATTTCCGTCCATGTAACCTGTTCTCCGGTAGGTTTCGTTTTCACCACCACAACACTGAAAGAGTGCCCTCTGGCATCAGCTTGTTGCTTGATGTAGGAGACCATAGGCTCCAAGCACCGGCACAATCCAGCACTGATGATCCCATGCTTGTAGAGCCAAACGACACCACCCCGACAAATGAAGCAGACAGCATGGATGATGCAACTGCGCTGATGCAACGGCCCAGGTACAAAGCATTTCCCCGACCAACATCGGGTACCAGTCAAGGCATCACACCGGCGCCTACTAGTTCCTCATGGTTCACTATCTCCCAACCGCTTGCACCTACAGGTACTGGCCAACACCAGCCGGTCCAATGGACCACAATCCAAGTCAGAAACCTCGCAGATTTTCACACAATGCTGCAGTGGTTGTCCAACCGGGCACAACAGGACCGATGCCAACCAGATATTGGTCAAGCCAAAATTGCCACTTGGTACCTTGAGCCGCAAGTGATGCCTCGTAGTGATCATTATCGGGATGTTCTGTTGTCTGCCAACCCGACCCTGTGGCCAAGTGAGGTACTACAGCGTTGGGCCGACATGTTGCAACCATCCCAACCAGTTGACCTCTACGTAGTGCAGCCTGATCCACCAGGAGGAATGCCTGATGTGTTTGCCCATGTCATCGTCACCCAAATGACACCGCCTGATCAAGCAGCAGCACTGGTCTCTGTCACTGAATTGCTTGAAGATCCCTGGCACCCATCAAGATTTGCCCTCTTCTTGCATAGCCCTGTAACCAGCGATGCCCTCTTTGAACATGCAGGCATTCCGCAAGGCCAAGTAGCCGCCACACCTGGGCTCAGTGCTTACCACGGAACAACACACATTCCGCATGGCAGTTCCTACCCAGTGCGCTCGGGCTTTGCCTTCGAGGTTGTGACTGACTCACTTGACTTTGAGGAGGAAGGGAGTGCTCTCCTGCAACTCTCCCCTGCCTGGCCAAGAAGGGAACACCAAACCTCAGACATGCCTAATGCAGCTACAGCTAGCAGCAGCCATGCTGCTTGCTGCGAACAGCTCATTGAGTCCATGCGACAACTTGACATGGCCATACAGAGCATAACCACAGCTCTCTGCTCCAGAACGGTGTTTTCACCGAAACAAATCCATGTTGAGCCTCACCCAGAGGTACCTCAACCCATGCATATTATCCTGTGCAAAGACCCTCAGATCGAGGAAGATACCTTTCATTGCCACACACCAGGGCTGGGACGACAGCCCGACACCTCGCACCGCTGGCAGCAATTAGCTGGCATCAGACCCAAAGAAGCCCGTCCGATGGCACCCATCATGACGTGGTACGTGGATCATGAGCGCTTCCCACAGTGCTTTGCCCCAAGGGAAGTGTTTGTCACTAGACATCCTCAGGCATGGAAGCGACTCATCCTGCAAGCATGGAATGACATCTATTTGCCTGAAAACCAGGTTGAAATAGTCGTGGTCCAGCCAAATCCCATCATGATGGAAGAGCACTTGGTAGCTCATGTAATTGTGCTACAACAGCAAATGCCAGGATTCACCACGGCGTTGCTCACCACACTGGATAGTGCGACACCTGGAGTACACAGGAGACATGCCACAATTGCCCCGACTGAACTCAGCAGAGCCACGCTGCTTGCAATTGCGTTCCATCCTCATAGTGCGACACCTGGAGTACACAGGAGACATGCCACAATTGCCCCGACTGAACTCAGCAGAGCCACGCTGCTTGCAATTGCGTTCCATCCTCAGGAATGTGAGCGAGAATCCAATACCTGCGACACCTGGGTTGGAGAAGAGGCTCTTGACGAACAAGCACCATTGCCACTCTCGCCAGGGTCATCATGCACGGCTGCCTTACACCGACATGTGCCACTGCCGCCAGGACAGCCAGACCCATGGGAATGCAGTGCACCCAAACACTGCCCACATAGAGTGACGCTTTGCCTGCAAGCAGTCCTTCCTGCCAAAGCACATCCGGAGCCTGTCAGTCTCGATGATGACAAGCCACAATTGTTGTGGTTTGCCAATGAAGCATGGAAACTTGCCCTCGAAGCTGAAATGCCATTGCAACTCCTCCCACTGCCTGATGGACTCGTAGTTCCTGAGCAATCCTACTGGTCGTTGCTTCAACCACCACAATTGTCAGATGGAGCCGACATGTCCTACACACTTTACCTGGATGGAGCCGCCAATGGCCAAGAAGCCGGCTGGAGTGTTATTGCTATTGCAAACTGCTACCAGCAAGAGAACTTCCTTGGTTGCATCTATGGCACTGTACAGCTCAATCCACACCATCATGACTGGCTAGGCGCAACCACTGCTGACAACATCTCTGCAGAACTATCAGCCATGGTTGTTGCGCAAAACCTTGCCATGAGATGGTCCGGCAACCATCAATTTTGTATCCGCCCTGACCTATCACTGAGCCGCACAGTAGCCACAGCTTTAACCACATGCAAGTCCAACCAGCCCCTCACCAGACTATGTGGGGCTTTGGGCCTTTGGCTGGGCCCCAAAGTGACCATCCATGAAGTCAGAGGCCACCAAGGCCATGCCTGGAATGAGCTAGCCGATGCAGTTGCAAAGTGGGCAATGCAACAGCACACTAACCCCGCGACAGGGCAATTGGCCCAACTACACCAGCTTGCCACCAATCAACACGATGTGGATTGGGTATGGATGCAAACCACGCATCCTGCAATTGCTGCATGCTTCCCACCGCTCAGCCAACAGCAGATCATGCACTTCACGCAGCCTACCACAAAGCTTGGCATCCTGCCAACTGAGCGCCACATCGGTGACCACCAGGAAGCTGGGTTGAAATGGGGCCTCAAAGTTTGTACAACCAATGTTCTTGCAGCCGAGGTCTGGGCCACACACACAGCCGGCACCAAACGCACAGGGCAGAGGACGGTACGTCTTGACCAGCAATGGCATCAAGCCAACATTCATGTCATCGGTGTTCAAGAGGCCAGAACGCCCCAAGGACGTTACCATGCACCTCATTATCATATCCTGGCTTCCGGTGCCCATTGCAAGAGAGCACCGCTCTACGGGTGCGAACTATGGATCCATAAGACCTTGCCGATCGCAACAGACCCTCAAGGGAAACCCATTGCACTCGGCAAAGCACTCCTCACGGTTCAGCACGCTGATCCACGCCGCCTCATGGTAGAAGCGAAGATCGGCCATTACGTTTATGCGTTCATTGTCCTGCATGCCCCAAGCCTTGCCTCAGCAGCACAAGACGTTCCCGACCCCATCGAAGCAGCCACACAATGGTGGGATGAAACAGCAGCCTTATATGCCAAGTACGTGACTGCTGGGGCCCAATGGGTTTTCATCGATGCAAATGCTCCCCTGGATGCTGGGGATGGCCTGCTCATTGGACCACACGGTGCTGAACCTGCCAATCATGCAAGCGCACGGTTTGAGAGCTTCATCCAACTGCAGCACCTAATGGTGCCTTCCACCTTTGCCTCCATCCATGATGGCCCAACCACCACATGGACGCACAGCACCGGAAAAAAGAGCCGAAAGGACTACATCCTTCTCTCCCAAGAAGTGGCAAAGTTGGCTAGCAAAAGCTGGGTAGAAGTACACCATGATAGCACATTTGCACACGAAGACCACCTGCCGGTTGTCTTGCAATGCGCTGGATGGCTTCCAACATCTCATACCCAACCGCCCATCGGATGGGATGACCGTGCCATGTTGGACCCAGCCAAAATTGATGCATTCCAGCAGGCACTGTACACGCTACCACTGCCTGCTTGGGACATAGGGGTAGATGATCACGCTGCCCTCTATGAACAGCAGTTGCTGGCCCTTGGCCGCCAATTCTTTGCCCGCAAACCTCGCAAAGAGAGACCGATCACCCTCAGCTCCCAGACACTGGAAGCCATTGCATTCAAAAGGCATGTGCTGGACTTCGGTCGACGAACCAACAGCATGCACCATGAGGACTTCAAGGCAGAGCTGAGAAGCATCGAAAAGTCAGTTGCTCGTGCAGTGCGTGATGATATCCAAGGCTTCTACAATGACCTGCTGCAGCAGATTCAGGCATCTGGAGAAATCTCCAACCACCGCCTGGTCTTCCGGCTCCTCCATAGATTGGGCCGCAAGAAAGGTGCAGGAGCAAACGGGCCCAGGCCCCTGCCAATGATCCAGAAGCCTGACGGTACCACTGCCAGCTCATACCTTGATCAGCAGCGCACATGGATGCACCAATTTGCAAGCATTGAAGCTGGCGTCCCCCGAACTTGGGACGAGCTTGAACAGCAGCACGCTGCCTTGCATCAATCCCAGCATTGCCAAGACCTTGAACCTGCAGCCTTCCCTGGCCAATGGCAAATCCGCATGCTTATTTCCAAATTACACAGAGACAAAGTACCCGGTCCCAACCTGGTGCCACCTGCGTTGCTTAAGGCTGGGGGAAGTGTAGTGGCCAAACAGCTCGCAGTGATGTTCACAAAAACGGCTGCAGGCGCTCAGGAACCCCTCCATTGGAAAGGTGGGGTCTTGATCCCACTTTGGAAGGGAAAACTAGCGCCACACCTGGCAAATGGATATCGAAGCATCTTTATCTCGAATTACACTACCAAATTATATCACCAGTGTTTTCGTGCCCATTTGGTTGAGGCCTGGGAGAAAACCTTGACACACCTCCAATGTGGCGGCAGGAAGGGAATCGGTGCCGACATTGCACACCACCTCGTACAATGCCACCAATCCTGGTGCAAACAGAAAGCAGTGCCTTCAGCTACTCTGTTCTTTGACCTCAAATCGGCATTTTACATGGTATTGCGACAAGCCTTCACTCAAATTCCCTCCCATGATGACGCATTCATGGCAGCGATGTATCATGTTGGACTGACCCCAGCCGAAGTCCACCAATTGATCACCAATGCTGCCGCCGATGATGCTGCCAAAGGACTTCCATGCCACATGCAACACATCCTGCATGACCTTTTACACAATACGTACTTCACAGTGCAAGGCCTCCCTGATCCGTGCCAAACCACCCGTGGCACCCGGCCGGGGGATCCCATTGCCGATGTGTTGTTCAACCTTTGTATGCACCTCATCCTGACCGACTTTCGTGCCTCCATGGAGCAAAGTTCTGATGTCCCTTGGTTAGGCCAAGCAACTCCGGTGTCCGACTTGTGTAACATCCCAAGTATACCGCCCACTGGTTTCATTGATGTTACGTTCGTGGATGACTGTGTGGTCCTGATCCATGGACGTTCCAATGACAATGTCGCAGCAACCATTAAAGCAGTTGTACAAGCCATGGACAAAGCTGCTGCCACACGGGGGCTCAGCATCAACTATGACCGTGGCAAAACCGAGGCACTCTGGACCATTCTTGGCAAAGGGGCCAGACAAATGAAACAAACCCTCCATGAAGCTGGCCAAATCCTGCAGTGGACTCATGAGGGCAGCCAGTACACGATACCACTGTGTCACGCATACAAGCATTTGGGAACATGGCTCCAAGCGCACCACAAGCATACCAGGGAAATCCTGGCCAGGAGCTCAGCTGCCAAGCAACAATACGGTCAGCTTGCACGTTCCTTTTTCACCAAAAAGTGCATCACCCTGCCGGTCAAGAGTGCCATTTTCCAATCCCTGGTACTCTCCAAGATGCTTTACAATGTGCACACATGGACTTCCGTCACGCACAAGCACATGCACTCGTGGATTAACCACCTCAAAGCCCCCACTGGCACCCTACTGAAAGGGTTGCTGATGGCGCCTACCAGATTCATGCATACCACTGATGAGATGATGGCATGCGCAGGCATCCTCCCGCTCATGGACCAAGTACATGCCAACCGGCTGAGGTTCCTGGCACGACTGCTAGGCGCCTGCCCCCCTATCACATGGGCACTGATGCACCACACCACAGGACATCATTCTTGGATGGAACAATGCATGGAATCATGTCAATGGATGCTATACCACTATGACAGCAAGCTTCCCCTGGACACCTCATCGCTATTCCAAGACTGGGTGCAGTTCGTGCGACTAGATCCCAACTGGAAAGGCCGGGTCCGAAAAACCAGCAAGCTAGCCTTGTCATACCATCGAGCCAGAGCCGACAATGCCATCTGGCAACGACACTTTGACCACCGCCTAGCTGCTGCAGGAGCGACTCTGCCTGACAAGTCCAAACCGCAGACAGCTCCAGAGCGTTGGCAATGCGACTTGTGCCAAAAAGTATTCAGCTCAACCAGGGCGCTCGCTATGCATGCTGCACGTGGGCATGGCTACAGGAAAAAGGTCCGATACTTTGCAATCGGAGACACATGCCAAGCATGTGGGCAAAACTTTCACACCAGGAAAAGGCTCTCTGTGCACTATGAAAAGCAGCAAAAGTGCTATGACATAGTCACTGCCTGCTGGCCGCCCTTTCCCGCTGCTATGGTGCAAAGCCTTGACATGGCAGACAAGGAAGATGAAGTGCAGCTGCGCAAACAAGGGTGGTGGGCGGCAAAAGCTTTCCAACCGGTGCAGCAGACTCAGGGTCCCCCACTCCCCTCTGCTGGCTCTGCTGCAGCTCAAGCCATGCATGACAAGATGATGCAGAGACGTCCAAGCGACGAATTAGCCTATACGCAATTGCAGGGCACTCGCATCACCAAGCTTCCACCGGCTGACCCCCAGCTCTGGTGGACACGTGCCGACCTTCCGTCCTTCATCATGCAGTCAGTTAGCGGCAGAGACAGCGCTGGCGGCGCATTTGCAATGCAAGGTCTCGCCAGAGAGACCGCCCTGCTTCATGTTAGAGCACTTGTTGTGGTGCACTTCTTTAGCGGCTTTCGCAGGATGGGCGATATTCATCACATCCTCGACCACCGCACCATGGAGACAGGAGCACAGGTCTTTACCATCTCGGTAGATCTATGCATGCAAAGGGTCAACGGTGACCTTGCCACGCCACAGGCCTCACGATGGTGGCGAGAGCGAGTCCTTGCTGGACAAGTGGTGGCGGCTGGAGGAGGCCCACCATGCGAAACGTTCACTGTGGCCCGACAATATGAAGGAGGCCCCAGGCCATTGCGGGACTCTGCCCATCCCCTCGGTCTCCCAGGACTCACCCTCAAAGAGTGGGCACAGCTGCGCATCAGCGACAGGCTCCTCCGCTTCCTGCTCGACGTTCTCGTGGCCCTCGCCCTCATGGGGATGAGCGGATTTTTGGAACATCCGCAATTTCCAACGTGGTGCACCAAAGGCTCTCCGGCGAGCATTTGGGCCACCGAAGCCCTCATCATTCTGAAGAATCTGGGGTGCTTCTCCGTGGTGAGCTTCGATCAATGCACAGTTGGTGCCCTGGGGAAAAAACCGACCACTCTCCTCCTGCTGAGACTGCCGAGGGTGCGAGACAAGCTCTTGGGGCGTGGCCGCAGCGGTCGGTGTAATCACCAGCCTGGAGCTCATGTGGCGCTGATCGGCCGTGAGGAAGATGGCACATTCCACACGGCCAAAGCCAAAGTATATCCCTATGGCCTCAACAAGATACTGGGTGAAGCGCTCTTTGATGCAGCGGTGCAATGGCAGCACCTGGACATCGCAACCGACCTGCCCAAGGAGTTCACCCCGTACCTTGAACAAAGTTGCCATGCCCCGGAGGTGGTGCAACCAGACTACCACGGTGGCAGCTGAGGTATACTCAGCGTCGTAGTGCATCGACAGACCAAGCACCAAAACGGTGCAGCAGAGGAAATGGAAAAATGGGGTAGGTATACCACCAACCAGGGTATAGTTTATGGACGTTTATGGTAGATACACTTCCTGCTGATGGGGTCTATACACCAACCTATACACCAACATATACAACGTAGCAAACCTGTAGCGGGGAGGACAATTGTAGTGGGACATTTAGTACTGCAGAATGATACCCTCTGGTAAACTAACATAGCTATAGAAAATCATTATTTTGAATATGTAAATCAACTATGAATGTTGTATTTTCAATGGCGATGTTAAATTACCGGGGGGTAATGGTTAGTAACACTAGCAAACGTGATGATCATTTTTGATGGTAGTGATGGTAACGGCGTATGCATATATACATACAGTGTATATATTATTCAATTAGATGTGTTTAGATGTACTGTACAGCATCCGACAGAATTATGGAAAAAAACATAATGGTTACAATTGACAGTCGCCGCCTGTCTTTCACAGGAAAATTCTAGACCTTTTTGTGTCCATATGTTTTTTCCCCTTATTATCCCCTTATTATTGTTTCCTTAATTCTGTCGGCTGGAACACGTCCACATAATATTGAATCCATTTTAAGGGCAATATTTAATCCACAGTTTACTTCAATATTATAATGTTCGCACTGTGAATCCAATCCATTTTAAGGGTAATCTTGAATTATGGAACATATGCATAGGTCTAAAAATTAAATATACAATTTTTCTGACCTGCTTCAGCCTTGTGCCATTGGTTTTGAGCAATTGTCCGACCTATTTCAGCATTTTACCCATGGCTCTCATCAGTTTTTCAATTGTTTCATTCCTTTCAGCATTGGTTGTCATCAGTGTTTTGACTTATTTCATTATTTTGCCATTGATTTTAAACAACTTGCCAACCTATTTCAGTTTTGTGCCGTTGTTTTCACGCAAGTGTCAATCCTATTTTGGCATTTTTCCATTGGTCTTCAGCTGTTGTTCAACGGATTTCAGCACCTTACCACGGTTTTCATCAGTTATTTCATTCATTATTTTTGCATTGGTTTTCATTAGCACATTTTGTTTATGGCTTTCATTTAGCACATTTCGATAGATTTAGTTTAATTAGTGTGTGTGGCTTTCAGTTATGCCATGTATCGCAATTTTTAAATATGTTTTCATTGTTTATAGTGCTGTAAGATACTGGTGCCTTTGAAGCCTTCAAAGTTGCGGACAACACAAAGTCGTAGTAGACATCATAGCGACTTGTCGTGTGTCACTTGACCAGGTCCAGGAACAACAATTACAGATATGGCAGGTTTCTGGCACAGCAGAAACTTCCAATGGAATTCGAAATGTTATGCATACTTCAATGGATTGGTTTAAGGGAAAATCTACCGGAAAAACCATCGAAATTTTCATGAAGATCATGGGGGTTTCCTGTAAATTTTCCCTTAAACCAATCCATTGAAACATGTGGTTCCCCCTAAGAATGACATTTTTGTGTGGTTGAGGTCGTGGTATCATGCGCTGATCAAGTCCGGACACCCGGGGTTCCCGGGGGCAACGGGAAACGAAGAAAGTTTCAGCTCCTCGGGACTGAATAGTGCTGGGAAACGATGGAACATGATTTATGTAAGGTCAGGATGAAGTAAAGTGAATGCCTCTTTTTTAAATTGATTTTGATATATTTTGATGGCGTTTCCAATGTTAGCCCTATATTATATGGAGGTTTCCATTATAAAATGGGTGTGCCCCCCCAAAAAAAATCCATTCTAATAGGGTTTTCCGTGAAATAAATCATCCAGCTATTGGGGTACATTTTCGGACTAATTCTCCAGCTTTGTTGCCGTGCTTGGGCCGTGGGTATTTGGTAATTTGCTGCAACCAAGTTTTGGAATATTGTCAAAGGACGCTTAAATAATTTGCCACATATTTTTTTGACAATGGGTTCGGAGTCCGGAGCATTCCTAGGGGGCGCACAGCTAGAATGAGTCCAACATATTCCATGATATTCCAACAGTGTTGAAAGCTGTTGATACATAACGACCTTTGAAAAAAAAACTAAAACCAGGTTCTTCCAAATGGTTCCCTTCAACCATTGTATCACCTCTAGAAAAGACCTCCTAGATAGGTACTGCAAGTTGGTTTAAAACTATGATAACTAGGAGTTATGGTGGATATATTTGTGATTAGATGGGGATCTAAACTCACTTGCCCTCAAGTAAACTAAGAGTTTGCGATGGACATGATCTTTTTCGAGAGGTAAATCATCGCACTAAATGGGCCATTTTCGATAGAACGATCCCAGCCAACTTTGGAGTGATCAGCCGCCCCAGCTGGGTTGGGGGTGTGATTTCATGAGGTTAGTAACCGTATGTAACCGTTTTGATTATAAGGATACGGCCTCACAAACTATGGTATTTAGTAAGTGTTGATCCATCCTTATTTTCGTGATTTCCTGCCGGTGTACCTACGTCACGGTTGCTCCTTACCACGCGTTTCTTTTTTGGTGGGAGTGCCTAGCCGCCAATTTGGAATGATCCGCTGGTCCATTGGTGTCCTGGTTTTCCATTTAGATGATGAGTCCGATAAAGAAAACCATATCGATTTATAATAGAGAATCATATGCCATAAAAACCCATATGAGAGAATTCTCTGGGATATGACATAATATTATTTCTTGGATTTTGAGGGATCCCTTACATAATCATATCCCATATTCTCCCATATAATCCAGAGAATCATCCCCATTTGATTTGCCATTTATCGAACGCGCAGAAATAAACTCATCTTCCATGCTTCGAATAGCTCCGGGTTCATCTGCGACTCTGGGCCTGTCGTGGCCTGTCAGGGCGAGGACGCCACAAGACTTGGAAGGTGCCGTATGAGGTTGATTCTAACTGATACCCTCTGGTAAACTAACATAGCTGTTGAAAATCACCATTTTTAGTGGGTAAATCAACTATTTCTATGGCCATTTTCAATAGCAAACTGTTAAATTACCAGAGGGTATATACTGATTATATATCCCACTTTGTCCCTATTGCACCCCACAACATGATTGATTTATCACCACCTGTTTTCTTAATCACCATACGTGCTAGGGTCGAAACATGGTACATGGATGCATTCATCCCATGAGAATCCGCGATCATATTATGAATCCCCATGTTCAAATGGATTTTTCTGACCATCCCCTTTTGTGAGTATCCCATCGTTTACGGGTTGAACATGGTACCATCTGGTTATGACTAACATAGCCATGGAAAATCACAATTTTTATGAACGGTAAACCCAGGTAAACCATCTATAAATGGGCCATTTCCCATGGCTATGTTAAATAACCAGATGGTAGCAATATGGACTCCATCCAATCCATGCTGGATGATGCAATGTCTATCCCTACGGATAACGATGCATTCCGACCTCCAGCAGGCCGAAAAGCGCGTTGCCAATGATCAGCTAGATCAGCAAAGAACCTCCATTGGTGACATATAGTGGTTTCAAATGGTTTCAAATCACAGAAATCTATGGATACTTGCTAACCCCCAAAACTTGTGATACTTTCTATGGATACTTATAGATTTATATATATATATATAACCATTTAAATCACAAAAAAACATGCTTGCTCTTCACCTTAAATAGGCCGGTAACAAAAATTTACGGCTCTTCACCCCCATAAATCCCTACGACTTCCATGATAAATGTCACTTGGATGATTTGTCACGCTTGGCTATGAATAATGGCCAATTTAACCATAGTTGGATGGCAGTTATATGTGTTCCATATACATATACAGTACATGTATATATATATTTATGTATGTATAATACTTTTATACGGCTTTATATGTTATACCTACAGGTATATACGTATATGACCATTTGTCAAAAATAGTTGTTTAGAAGTTTAGTATTGGTTGTTGATAATTCATCTGGGTCTACTGTTTTTTCCTCTTCGTTATGAGGCGGCACGCAACTAAATTCAGCAATTCTGCAAGGCAGCGCTAGCAAACCCGCTAGGTTTGCGCTAGGTTTGATTGACAGCCATGGCCTCCATGTCGTGAATGTCTTGCCAGCTTTTCTTACAAGTCTGTCAGTTTCCACATATTCCCAAATTTTCGTTTTTTTTTACGTATTTTACGCGCTAGATCGCCGCTAGCAACGCGCTAGCGAAAATTGCAAATACATGCCCCGGTCCACCCGCAGCCCATTCAGAGGCACAGCCATGTTCACGCTTTCGTAGCTTACAGTAAGGAAACAGCGTTGATCAGGAGGCATGTCAAGAAGCATATTGCATTCAGAGAGGCACACACACACAGAGACACACAGTTCAGGAGATAGTACCAGCGACAGCGAATGAAAACCGACGTGCGTTAGCCGATTCCTGTGGTTTTAGAAAGATTTCCAAAGGTAACGAAGAATTTCCACGTTTTCACGTCATCAAGGTAGGTCATGTTTTTTAAAGGCAAACATGAGGCGGCGCGCATGGAATTGCGATTTATCAACAAAACCGGGAACATACATTTTGACAAACCGTCATATGTATATGTGGGATGCCCGCAAAAGACCAGCCCACCCATCCGACTCCTTTTTTGTTTGTGGAAGCTTCACAGCAAGAAATGACGTCCCCAGATGATCCATGTAGCCCGTACTTATAAAGTGCAAAACATTGTAGTAATCAGTGGATGAGTTTTTTAGGGGTAAGCCGGATAAGCTACAGGAAACCATGGTGTCCCCCATTTTTCATCTTGGGCTTTCCTGTAGAATTTCCCCCGAAAAAGAAATGAAAGCCTCCGAAAAGATGCCTAAAAGTATGGTCCCCCTAAGAGGTGTGTGTTCATCCCCTAAACACGACGCGTATGTGCGAAAGCCAATGAACCGTGAACCATCTCCGAAATCACCCATGTTTATGCATTCTATAAACCATCCCCGAATCGTTGATTTATTACTGGTTGGATCTGGTTGGTGGTTTAGA